CATCCATTCAGGCCGAGCAAACCGTAACGCCGTCCACTGTTCAGCTCAATTCTGGTGTCTGAAAACAATTCCATTCCATGCGAAGTCAGACAGAACGAATCGATATGAAGATCACGGGATGCGGCATGCGATGCCAGGACGCCAGTGCATGAGCGGTCGCTGAGGGCTAACTGTGCTAAGGCTGTTGCTGCGCCATCAGCAGCAGCGCTGCTTCCATTCACTGGGGGCGAGTCTCCATTCTTTGCTGCCGCTGCTGCCTTGCCTCGTTGAGAACTCGCTGCCTTCTTCTTGGCAGCGCGTTTCTTTGCTGCATCAGACGGCATGTTCAAGTTCAGTCTATTACTAGAAAGAAATCTGTTGAACTTGGATAACAAAGGACTGTGCACTCCGCCACAACGAACAAGAACTGAAGAAGGAAAGAACAAAGCAGAACGCGGAGGCCGATGGAGCCAGCTTCATTGAACGTTCCTCCGCAAAAATCGCGAGGAAAGACTGCGTTTCACATGCACATGCAACATCCACGTGCTGGCGCGTGGGTGGGGATTCCCTCGCTTTTGTCTTGAAAATGGACGCGACGTGTACTGACGTCAGTGATGAAGCGCCCCGCGCTAGCGCGCGCTACAGAGTAGAATTATTTGCGTGATACCATGGCTACGCGGCCCCTCTACCCGCCGGTACGCGGTGCGTTATGTTGCGCCGTAGACCTACGAGTCGTACCGACGCGACGTCCGTGTACCGAGTACTGCGCTACAAAGACACAGTGGGCCATGCATGTGGCCGTGCTTGCATTTTTTTTTTATCGCGGACAAGGATCTACACATGCACAGAGTCAGACTACAGTCATAACCATAGATAACAGGAGCGAAAAAAGAGTAGATCGTCACTGTACTGCATGCAGCAATGTCAAAATGGTTTTCAAGACAGAAGAAGAGAGGTGAGGCTAAGCTTAGTAGGACCTGTAAACAAGCTGTAGCAGCAGCGGTGGTCGCTGCCAGTAGCACTCCGAACGGTCCTTCAGTGATCAAGCCAAGTTGTTCTGGAGTCACAGCCGATCATAGCCCGCTTGTCCTTGGGCGCGTCGATCTCAGAGCGGCTTCGCGTTAGAATTGCCAAGTGGCGCTGTGCATGCATGCACTGCAGCGAGTTTCGTAGTCTAAAGAAACGGATCATCAAAGTTGTGCTTACATGATAGCGACGAAAGGCTCACTGCTGCTCTCTACGTAGCAGGCAGTAGGAGGAGGAGAGTTTTGCCAGCTGTGCAACTGTTGAGGTGCTGGACGGACAGGCGCTAGGCCTCTCCGAAAACTGTGCCGTCCAACGCCACGGAGCTGCCTTGCAGTTGGACATTGAGGCGCACTGGTCAGGTGAGTTGGACGGGCACTCGTAGTACAAAGTAGCAGTAGTGTCCAGTGGTTGTGTGTGTGTCTTGCGTCAGTTTTTGTCCTTGTGTCGCGTGTCAAGAAGGGTCTGGTTCTCCTGAATGGCAGTGGTGTAGCGGGGATGTACAGATGGTGTTGCCGCTAGAGCTAGGGAACTGGAGGAAGTCAGCGGATGCAGGTTTTGAATGAATGAAAGTTCGAAAGGTTAGGCTATGGCAGTTCGGGTCGAGACAGGTGGAGGATGGAAAGATTTACGAGCATTTTGCAGGTCCTGTAGCTCCTGGCCCTTGTTCAAGAAAGGTGATGATTTTCTACTAGTACTACGGTGTCACGCCTGTGTGTGTGTGTGCGTGCAGATTGACGATGGTACGCCGGTAAACTTTAATTTTTTTACTGTTTGGTGTCTCGAGGCCGAAGCAGGGTAGCAGGGTTTGCAGCAGTGGCAACAGAGCAGTTGTGTTTCGTCGCTGTATATGCCCCATACTGACCGTATACAAACGTAGTGGTGTGTGAGCCTGCATGGTGCAAGCCCTATGAGTATGAATGTTCGTACAGTGTCAGTGCTCAGCTGTTGCTCTTCAGACTCAATCATTATCTTCCGATCCTGTTTTAGCTGCGTTTGCAGCTCCGGTTCTGGCCGACGGCCGCAGGAGCATTTTTAGAACATAGCGTTGATTTATCTCGTCTTCAGTTCTGTAGACTGTACGAATACTGTACTTGTCGTGTGGATGTGGTCGTTGAGTCTTGAGTCTGAGCTGCATGTGCTGATACTGGCGCTGTGCTAGCTGCACACTGTTCGGAAGTACCTACCACGACTGTGACACACACAGAAGTAAACTGTAAAGGGCTTCTTCGAGAAAGTAGCTTTGGGACACACCGAGAGTGGAGAAGGCGAGCAACAGGAGCCCCCAGTTGAGAGGTAGAGACCAGGATACCACTACTACCCGTGACTGCTGTGGCGGCGATAGTGTACTGGCTCTTCGCGCGTCCACCCAGGAAAATATCGGTGTCATTCAAGACTCGCAACGAGAGAGAGAGAGGGCACTTTTGCGAAAACGTTTGTCATGCGACGCTGATGAATCCCGTTGCAATAGCCAGAAGGGAAGCTTGGAAGAAAGAAGAGAATAACATCGGGAGTGTAAGTGTTCCGAGTAGAGCGTCGTTTGAAATGTAGTACAATTGAAATTCCGCAATATATGTTCACGCGTCAAGGGTGCATCAATGTCACAATTTTATGGCCAACGACACGGAGACGAGCGGCACTGGCAGAGGTCCGAGACCGCTAGCACCGAGCAAACACAGTCATTGTACCAGAAAACTAATTATTTACCTATGCCTAGACTACTCGAGTTCGGACTCACGTCACTGCTTGTCTGATAAGTGATGGAGGAGGCATGTGGTGTCCTGCATCGCCGCCACCTTTCCGGTGCGTGTTTCTTGTCAGTGGTTTTTTGTCTCCCCGCAAATGGCGGCCAATGACTACATCATGTGCACAAGGAATGTTGATAGGGTAATGGTTCTATTTCGAACGCAGCATATTATTATAGCGGTTCTAAATATAGCCTCTAAGCTATGGACTCAATATTCTGTGTTCTATCCAGGGTCTAGGAGCAACCAAGTAAAAATTATGTACATTTTGGTTTTCCAGTGCCTGGCCTGTTTCGTGATATAAAAATAATAATAATAATAATTCCACTGAGGGCGCAGCCTATCTCCAGTAGAAGAGCACACATCCCGCAGGTGCTAGCTCTTGAATATCCAGAATACACAGTTATGCAGCAACTATAATTTAGTATAAATCGTCACCTAGGTAATCTAAAGTGAGACTCACTAATTAGGACCGATTTACACCGCGCACAAAGGACTCGGTGTGTGATGCTACCATGGCGATTCAGTCATGTGACGTCATGTATTGGCAGGAGTCGAGCTCGTGCGGCTACTGACTAGTTGACGTAGGGAATGCTTGGAAAACTTGGAAAACCAGTGGTATAACATTATCGGGGGAGCATCGGGGCATGGATGAAAGTCGTGTGTGGTCTGAGGCGAATAGTCTTGGATCAAAGATCAAAGAGGCTGCCATGCGTCGTTTCCTAAGGGAGCGTGCTCCAAACATTGATCATTGCACACTGAGCGTATCATCTCTCGCTCGTACAGACCGAAGCACTTGTGCAGTGTGTGTCAGTCTTCAGCAAGTGCCGGGGTTATGCAATGAAGTCATCATCTGATGTGCTGTACATGGAGTCATAACACAAAACTGTTGCACTACAAACAGTTGTTTGCCACTATCGTAGAATGCAGATTATCCGAACATCATCTATCCAAATGGTCGATTATCCTAAAGTAAAAAAACCTGTTTGTACTGGATTGAAGGGAGAAAATGAGCTCTTGTTGATTTTCCCCAACCGCATCACCATGCAAATGGTGCACAGGCTGTCGTTAGCTAGAGTGTGCATAATTCCCGTGGTAATGCCGAAGAGCGGAATGAAAAATGATGGCAGCAGGAGGGAATGTTCATGTTTTAGATGGGTGTTTTAGATGGGTGTTTGTTTGCCCCGCTCACCTTATCTGGACACCTTCCAGACTGCTCTGTGCCCAGGGAGGTGAGGATAACCGGTACTCTACTGTATAATTATAATAAAGCATTATTCAAGGATGTCGTTCGTGTAAGCGCTGTGCATGTAATATGGCAGGGTGCAGCTGGCGAGTTCTGTATGTAACATACCACGGGGGAACGAACAGTCCTAGATTGTGGTGTGTTCCTTCGTGAAGAGATATTTGCCTCTAGATCTTTGATACTTATGTATTTACTCTGATAGTGGGCCAGGCCCGGAAATTTGGTGGAATATAAATTGATTTGAATCGCAGTAAAGAGACCATTATTGCCATTGGAGTTGACAATTGAAGGTTCATGCAGATATTTGCCTCGCTTTCTTATCTGTGTGCTCCCTTGTCCCCTGTTCGTTGCTTTGTGTGCCCAGCCACTGATTTCATCTGATTCATCATGGCGGTAAGATGACTTTTCAAGCATTGTGTAAAGTTTGGTAGTGATGTACACTGCATCTCTAATAATAATATTATGATTTGATTATTTTGGCACTGGCCCGGGCTGTTCTGACACGTGCCACCATGTCCTGACCAATTACATCAGGTGGTTTGTTCTAGGGCTGCAATGGGTAGGGGCGTGGTCGGGTAACGAGTTCGGGTGTTTCTATTCGGGTAGCACGGGTACCTGATCGGGTATTTTTTACGTACTTCGTACAGTGAGCGTGCACTTGCGCTGCTGTACAGTAAGCACGTAGCTGTACTTCTTACATTCACCGTTGCGAAAACACTGTACTCCAACTACCCGATCGAATCCTCAGGAGCAAACTGCTAACCGAGCACCCGATCTAATTACGGGTAGCACGGGTACCCTACTACCCGATGGCACGGCCCTAGTTTCCCTCTTTGCATTGGCCCCTGCTGTACCTAGCGGTACTGTGTACGGATATCAACAATGTCGGCTTGAAAGCATGTTGACCCATCTGCCGTTCTTCTACGGTTTCTGCTGGCAAGGGGCACTGTACTGGCGTGGCGGATCAGGATGGCGATTGTTTTGAGCTGGGGACGTGTTACGCTGATGTTGTATACCAGTAGCACATGCCGCACTGGGCCATCTTGCTCACAATCGTAGAACGTGTCTGTCAGTGTACATGGACCGGCTCTTTCCCAGATTTCCTAGTTGCCGCACGGTGTGTAGAACAACGGTGACAGAGACAAAGATGGCAACAGCAGCAACAACAACAATAACAGCAACGACACCACCAACAACAACAACAACTGCAGAGACTCATAACCTTTTGCGTCTGCCCTTCATGCCTCTCACTGTAGGTTCAAGAGAGCAGTGCTGAGCGCGTGCGACGCTTTCAAGCCAAGCTGGGCAGCAGCCTGAATTATGTGCTGGCTGCTGCGCAGTCGGGCAAGGGCTTCAAAACGGAGCTGATGGAGGGCACCTCTGAGTTACTGGATAACACGCAGCACTTCATGAACTCAGTCACAACACTGGTGGTCACGTCTGGGAATGATGCAGTGTAAGCTTAGTCTTTGTGTGGAGTGTGTGTGGGTGTGGGTGGGTGTGGGCGTGGGGGGGGGGGGGAGGTGTTTTAGTACATCATGAAATTCTTTTGGACAAAGTAAGTTAAGCCCTTGAGACAAGCAGGGGGGGGGGGGGGGGCATGCAACACGCAAGCGCAACTGTGTATGGAACGAAGAGTTGAGTTGGACACTGCAGCACTGTACGGAGGATTAGTGATGATGCGGCACACTGCTCATAGAGGTAGGCGGTCGATATGTTGGATGCCATGGGAATAGTATGCGCGTGCATTGGAACTGCAGTGGTGGCAGCTGAAATCCAACCCCTCCTTTTCGTGCTCGTGTGCAGCACCGATTCTATCGGTCTCTATTCCGTAGTGCTACAAGCGCTTGCCGGGCGTTTGCGATGTGAGTGCACCGAGCTGGGATTGGATTTCAGTTGCCATCACTGTACATGTATCAGTAGAATTAAACCTATCAAGGCGACTACTCGAATAACACGACCACCTGTCCAAGAAGACCTCTGCAATCAGGACCAAGGGATGCTATTTCCAGGCAAACGACCCTGGATAAGGAGACCACCTGGTAACAGAGATCACACTTTGAAGGTCCACTGAGCGGTCGTCTTAGACAGGCTTCACTGTGTATGCTGCTAGCTCAACAACATTGTGTTCTGCTTGTGGTGCAGTGAATTCCGTGACCAGGTCACCGCCAAGCGATATGAACTGTGCGGGCAGCTGGCAGAGCTCATTCGCATCTGCGATCGCATGATCCTGTCCGAGGAGTTGCCGTCCACCCAGGAGACGGAGAGCTTCGCGGCGACGATCACACAACTCGCGGAAGAGCTGATGAAGGTGATAGCGCCGCTCATAGAAAGGTAGCGTCTATGGTTGTGTATGCATGGGGATTTATCTATGGTTGTGTATGCATGGGGTTATATCTATGGTTGTGTATATATTATGCATGCCATGTTTTTTTTGCAGTGGAACCCTGATAAAAAGTACCCATGGGCAGCAGGAAAGTATTCATAGTATCCGAGATACTCAGTCTTATCCCAACAGACATCAGTATGGATCAATACACACCTCCCAACATACTCAGTATGGATCAATACACACCTCCCAACATACTTCCGTATGGATCAATGCACACCCGTGCTCCTGACAATGTACATACTAGGCAAGTGTATGTCTTATCAGAATACGTACTAAGTGAGCTCCTCTGTAGTTAAGTCGGCATCATCCTATTGTTTCACGAGATGTGAAAGAGTCCACTGTAAGTTTGTAACCATCCATTACATCCACTTACAATTATTCTCACTGCATTCTTGCTGGTTGCTGGCCTGGTCTCTGGGCTACACCAACTAATTGAATGAAATAAGTTATCCAAATTGTCGGGCTGCACCCATCTTGAGATCTCTTGATCATCCTGTACAAGAAGTATGTTTTTAGCGGAATTGTTTGCAAAAAGCAATTTTGGACGCTTTGTGGTAAATCCCAATACGCCAGTAAATGTATGCTTTCTTCTTGGATGTGTGGCATGATGTTAGTCTTTGTTTGGCACGTTATCAACCGCGAGCATCGCGCCAATAGCCAGCTTCAACGTTTCCTCATCAATTTTATAATGTTTGTGTGGTTTCTTGACTTCTAGACGTCTGAGTGGAGGCACAGTTCGCGGCCAGGCATCTCCACAGCGTGCGGTCCGCGGCGGTAGCCAGCGTGGCAAGTACTACTCGTCCGGATCGCTGACCATAAGCAGGTCTGTTGGTCTTGCGAGCTCCGGCGACCTCGCATCACTACCAAACGACTCGTTCATGCGTGGTGATAGCGCAGACTCGGGCATTGTAAGTGAACTGCTATTGCTAGTAAGGAGAGATTGCAATTGAACTAGGCCGAGCTGCTATTAGAGAGATTCCTGTCTGGTCGTAGCCCACTGGATAGTGTTTCACCGTGCACACGCACATGCATTGTGTGAATGCGAGTGCTCCTCAGAAGGATGTGAGGCTACTGAGTGTCACTGTGCTTTCACGTTGAAATCGCACTGATCTTCTGGTGTGATAATATCGCTTTTTTTTGCATGGCCTGGCCATGCTGCAGTGATATGCCTCTGCTGAGATGGCATGGTATAGCAAAGTTTACTGTGATTGATCTAAAATATAGTACCCCTCCCGTATTCTTCCTGTGGATGGAGAAATATCAGTCGGACTACAATATCTGATGAGAGTGGACTTATGGTTATGCACACATCAGCAGATCCATTTCATCAGGTTGTTGTGTTTTGCACTCGGCTGTTCTCTGTAGGCTCATAACGGAGAGCATCATCCAGCAGCTGGCTACAGTAGTAGCGTGTTTGCGACCATGCCGAAGTCCATGGTGAAGAAACGAGCAAAGTTGACTCGCAGACCGTCCGGCGGAAATCTCTTCGAGGTGAAGCAGGAGACAAAGGCGGAGGTTGTCGTTCCCGGCAACGGCCCCGGTGCTGTGTCTGGGCGTGCTCGGCTGCGTTCAACCAGCCACGGGGAAGGCCCCAAGCCAGCTCCTGCAGCCGCCAAGGGCATGTCACTGTCGCAGCAGAAGGCACTGTCTCTCTCGTCGCCGCTCCTCAACCAGATCAAACAGGCCGACGGTGCAGCAGACGGAGATCCAAAGCAGGGGCTTCAGCGGACAGTGAGCCACACGACGAGCCGCAGTAACGTACTGGAACTTGGAGTTTCCGGACAAAGAAATCAGCCGAGAGACGGGAGTACAGCAGCGGTTCCTCCGCTACTACCACCGAAAAAGCGCCCACCAACACCAGGCAGCCGGAACATGGTCATATCGGATATATTTGCGAATGCCACTGCTCCACCCCGTGTTCCACATCAATCAACGCAAATGCGACAACCAGCATCGCCCGAAGTTCACAAACGATCACCAAAGTCTAGTCCACAAGTGGCACTTCGGTCCAGTTCTCACAGGCCCGGCACTGTCACAGAGGTAAGCCATGCTTGCATCCGGGTGTGCACATTTGTCTCACGGTGCCTCTGTGTGTGTGTGTATGTGTGTGTGTGTGTGTGTGTGTGTGTGTGTGTGTGTGTGTGTGTGTGTGTGTGTGTGTGCCAGAAAAAGCCACTTCCTAGCTGTGTGGTGTAAACCAGGCTGAATAGTGGCGGTCAATTCTTCAGCCTTGCGAGCTGTTGAGTGGTGCAATCCCAGCACAAGCTGCTATTGCGTCTGCTGTAGCATCGCTATCATCGCCTCCGGCGATGGGCGTCCAGTGGTCCAGTGGTGTGTGTGTGTGTGTGTGTGTGTGTGTGTGTGTGTGTGTGTGTGTGTGTGTGTGTCCCATATGGTGCAGTGGTATGTGCAGTCGATTTCCAATCGAGAGGTTGCGGGTTCAATTCCCGACGATTATGGTCGCACACGTCTTTCTTCTCTTTCTCGGACTCTTCCTGACTTTTCTTTCATTCTCCTGGGTGGTTACCAACAGGCAGTGTATGCCGGAGTATGTTGTGTGGTGTGTGTGTGTAGAAAAAAATGGAAAAATGAAAAATAGGGATTCACTGGCCAGAAAAAGTCACTTCAAACAGCTGTGTGGGGGATACCAGGCTAAAAATAGTGGCGGTCAATTCATCAGCCTCGCAAGCTGTTGAATGGTGTAATCCCAGCACAAATTGGTATGTCTAACATAGCTGTTCGCTATCATCGCTTCCGCGATGGGCATGTCTGAGGTCTGAGGTGTGTGTGCGTGTATGTCTGACATTTACTGATGTCTCTGTATCCAAGAGCCATTTTCCTTGCATCCTTGAACTCGGCTGTAGTGTGTGCGGGTGGCTGTGGAAACCGAGTGTGCCCGATTTCTGCCATGCAACATCCAATTACGTCAAACAGTATGGCAGGCAACTACAGGTGGAAACAATTTGGGGGGGGGGGGGGTGCTTCATCCGTTGTACCTTGACGGCTCTAGTTGATCACCGTGTGAAGGGGTTGGACTGCCATTCTAGAGCGTGGACAAGATAGCGGGGCTGTGTTCATGCACCGAATTGTGAATTTGCTGCCATTATAGATTTCTCTGATCCGTTTCCTCCATCCACTTGTTGCATCAGGTGCGAGTGGAGTCTCCCGAGGGCTGGTCTCCGTCCGAGGCCCCATTGTCCGGCTCACTCTCTTCAACGTCCGGCTCGTTCGTGTTGCAGAGCACCGTCGCCACGTCGGGATCTCCGTACTCGCAGGGTGGCAGCACTTCCGGGTTCCGCAGCTCCTCCGCCGCCGCAACAGCAGTGCAGGACACGAGCACCGGCATGGGCGTCGCTGGACCCCCGCCCAAGCCGTACCACCCCACGCTATCAAGGCCGCACAGTGCCATGCCGGACCTGGCCAGCGGAGGTGGAGGTGGTATGGCGGCGCCGCCGGAGAAGCCGCCGCACCCGACTCTGCGCAAGAATCGAAGCAGCAAGCTCGACGTGATCTCCGATTCGCCCCCGCCAGCTAAGCCACCTCGACCACCGACTCTCACCTTCAATCCCGATGACCCACCGCCGCTGCCACCAAAGAAGAAAGGTAAGTAAAGAGGACACACAGCATAACCGTGACTGCTTGTTTTCAAGTACTAGCATCACCAGTAGACAGGCTCTCCGATAACAACACTTACATAACCAATTTAGTCGTTTCCTGCTGAGTGGCACTACAGGCATGGACTCACTACTCCCTATCAGTCATAGATGATGATGTAATTAACACAACCCGACCAATAGTTAGCCCCCGTGGTTGTCCATAGTCAGAGTTGAGCATCTCAGAACGCTAGCATGAATACTACCCGGGATAAGAAGAAATATACTTGCAGTACTAATGTTCATTAGTTTTTTGGGAGTTTAAAATAGGGAAAGTCTGAAGGAAAATTTGACTGTCACCGCCAAGACTCAAACCGGGTACCCTTGTGTATGGCCAGCACTGCTCTACCACTGAGCTATTGTGTAGTCATCATCCCTGGAGCGACTGTTCGACATTTTCGTCAGACTTCGAAACTCGCTAAGTACCAATGATTATCCTATGCTGAAGCTTACCTTCCATGATATCATCTTCAGAGTGTTGACTGTGAAAATCTGAGGGTTAGAAAAGCAACGCTCTTTCAGGCCTGCTTAATCGGCACACCTGTCGTGTCGTCAGTTGTCACCAATTGTTTTGCAAGTCCTCACCATGGCTGTTGATTTGCATGCCGCGCTATACCGTCTATAGTGTACGGTTTCCTTGACTGAATCTGGGCACTCCTAACCTAAGACCTCACGTTGCCTGGTGCCTTTCTGTTGTGGTGTTGATGTTACAGCGTTGGTTAGTTACTTAGAACAGTTTGGTACATACCAGAGTCCGACAGATCAAGACTGGGACGCTGCTCCAAGAATAAAATTGGGTGGCCTCAACTCCGCACAGGTTGTCACACCCAGCAAGCTCCTCACGGCACCAGTTCTTGGTAAGGGCGAGGCGGCACTGCTTGTGCATACTCATTTGTTTGATGATGCACGTGTGTGTGTTTGTGTGTGTGCGTGCGTGCGTGCGTGTGTGTGTGTGTGTGTGTGTGTGTGTGTGTGTGTGTGTGTGTGTGTGTGTGTGTGTGTGTGTGTGCAACCTGCTGAATGGTGTAATCCTAGCACAAGTTGCTATGTCTAACATACAGTAGCTGTTCGCTATCATCGCTTCCGCAATGGGCATGTCTGAGTCTGTGTGTGTGTGTGTGTGTGTGTGTGTGTGTGCGCACGCACGTGTGTGTGTGTGTGTGTGCATGCGTATCTGCGTGCATGCGTTCATGTACGGAATTCCATGATGACCTGTTCATACATGCAGTGAGCACATGCCGTGTGCGAGTTGCAGCCCTGACGTGTTGCATTGTGACCCTGGTCCCTTTATGGCCGCAGCAATTCTTGCATGTTAACAGAGCAGATAGATACCGGTACCCCTCGAATCCAACTCTTATCTATTTTTTTGGAAACTGCATATCTTGGAAGGTGAGAACCGTATCCTAAAATGAGATATAGAAGGCGAGTGGATGTGCAAGTTAAAACATGTCATAAAGGTATAGGGGGTTCTGGGGTTGAGGCAATTTTCATCTGAGCTGTTCTGCTTCATGCTGAACTTCCGTTGCTTGCTTCTTTAGGTCGCAGCGAATCTGTTCCACCGGTGATCAGCCGCACTGGACCGAGGACCTACTACAAAGAACCGCTGTGCAAGACGCGTAGCGTCCTCGGCTCGGAGCTGAACATACCGCCACCTTTGCCGGTGAAGACTCGGAAGGGCTCGGCTTCAGGAGCAAGCGTAGTAAGGGAGACCATCTTGCTGTTTTCCTTCTGTATTGTACCTAGTACACCATGCGTAGCATATACAGTGAATCCTGTCTAAGACGACCGGTCGAGGGGCTTTTAAAAAGTATGGTCTCTGTTGTCAGGTGGTCTCCTTATCCAGGGTCATTCGACTGGAAATAACATATCTTGGTCCTGGTTGCGGTGGTCTTCTGGGACAGGTGGTCGCCTTATCCAAGTGATCGCCTTGACCGGTTTTACTGTAGTTCAGGGCGTGTCATTCAACCCACCAAGGTTCAAGTTGAATTTGCGAAGGTTTGTGAGCCTTATAATAAACACAATCTATTTTGGCGAAATTGGTCTGTGATGGGTGGCTGGGTGCTGTCCAAGCACTCAGCACCCGAATCTCACTCAAGATCCATTCGCGAACTCTTACTCAATGACAAGAACTCATTCACTCCTTGCGCATCCGCACTAATCCTGATAGATTCAGATCTCCTTTATCTGGATGGTCCGGGACTGGGCACTTCCCACTACTTGGAAATGTCCATACCTCTGAATCACATACGTTTCAATGGAAAAGGACCGGAGATGTAGCATTTGGCGTCACTATTTCGGAGTATTTCCACCAAAATTGGCAAAGGAGGAATAATACCACTAAAAACTCTCCCATAAGGTCCCCGGTAGGCCCAGGTGCCTCAGTGTAACTTCGAGGTCCAAATAAGAGAATGATATGCGTGTATGTAGGACTGTGGTTACCATAGTGACTGGTAGCTATGTACATGATAGAATTATAACAGCTGGCGCGCAAGCATGCATCTTTTTAAACGTACAACACAACCCTACCTATGAGTTATGAAGGAAGAAAGAAGCAGGGACAATTAATGGTAGCATGCACCTGTGTGTGCGTGTGCGCGCGCGCGCGCGCGCGTGTGTGTGTGTGTGTGTGTGTGTGTGTGTGTGAGAGAGAGAGAGAGAGAGAGAGATAGAGAGAGAGTGTGTGTGTGTGTGTGTGTGTGTGTGTGTGTGTGTGTGTGTGTGTGTGTGTGTGTCTTCTCTTTCTCAGACTCTTCCTGACTTTTCTTTCATTCTCCTGGGTGGTTACCAACAGCCAGTGCATGCCGGAGTATGTGGTGTGATGTGTGTGCGGGGAAAAAAAAAATGAAAAAGACCAAAAAAGGGATTCACTGGCCAGAAAATGTCACTCCAAATAGCTGTATGGTGTAGACCAGGCTGAATAGTGACGGTCAATTCTTCAGCCTTGCAAGCTGTTGAATGGTGTAATCCCAGCACAAGTTGCTATGGCTTCTGCCGTAGCATTGCTATCATCGCCTCCGGCGATGGGCGTCAAAGGTCAAAGGTGTGTGTATGTGTGTGTGTGTGTGTGTATAAACTGTATCCTATGCACATCTGCATGGCATGGCCTACCAAGCACTGATGTTGAATGCTGCTCTTTGTGCATTTGCCTTTCAGAAACGAAGCGGCACAAATAGGTCCAATGGAAGTGCACGCAGAGACATGGTAGGGCCTCTTAAAAATAGCTCACCAATTTTCAACATCATAATTTTAAAATTAAATTTGCATGTTTTATGATTATGGAGACTGGTCAAGCCCAAGGCTTTCACTGTCCGCCGTTGCCAATGCCAAATTACATATTCTGGCTTGGAGTTATCCCAATATAGTCACATCATGTACTGTTTCCAATGTCATTCTGTTCGTGTTTGAATGGAATAGTAGGGCTGCAACTGGTAGGGGTTTGGTCAGGTAACGAGTTTGGGTATTTCTATCCGGGTAGCACGGGTACCCTATCGGGTATTTTTTGACACAGTTTGTACAGTGAGTGTGCACTTGCGCTACATAGAAAGTGTACAGTAAGCACGTAGCTGTGCTTTTTACTGCACCGATGCGAAAACCCCGTACTCCAAGTACCCAGTCGGATTGTCAGGAGCAAACTGCTACATGAGTACCCGCTCTAATTACGGGTAGCACGGGTACCCAACTACCCGATGACACCCCTATGGAATACCAGACTATCCAAGGGCATGGAGTCTTTGCTTTCGCACTTTTGATGGTCACTGAGGACGAGCTAGCCTAGGAAGAACCAGCCTGCTGCCTTTTATATAATTTTTCTATTTTTACTCTGAAGTTCATGGCAGGCGGGCATGAATACGCTTGAGTGCCATCGTCGTCTCTAGCAGATAATCGTGTACCGGCTGTGGCTTGATATTTCGGTTTGCCAAGCGCAATTCCACCTGGCCAAGTGAGCTGTATAGCTTGCAACTCATAATCCACGTCGTCCTTACCCGTTTGTCACTTGTCTTGTGGTTTTTGCAGGCAATTGCGGAAGAACCGGAAATAAAGAACGAAGAACGACCCGAGAGCCCTGTTCAGTAAGTGCTTCTGAGAGCGATGTTTAGCAAAAGCTGTGACTGCAGTGACCGATTATGCTGGTTGATAGTACATGTGCAAGTGAGTGAGTGAGGGTGCTTATTTATGTGGCCGATTTGAGATCAATACAATCTATATTGTTGGCAAACAGCTGTTGCATTTTGACAGAAAGTTGAGGCTCGGGTCACCTTTGCTTTTGGTCTTAATGTCAGCAGGATGAATTCAGGGTTCGATTGCGTGCGATGCCCTCTTTCGATGCATTTATCCATGATTCTGGCTAACCATACGTAGATGTCATTGATGTGTCCATACGTAATGGTGGCAAGGAAAACACGCCCGCATGAGTATACCCCCCCCCCCCCCGGGATGGGCTGCCCTGGCACTCTGTGCATAGAGCATAGCTCTGCTTTACTGATGAGATCAACCGTCCCTTGCCACCAGCGCGGCTTGAAAATCGACGAGATAATTTGTGTGCTGCTTCTTTGCCCTCCGCAGGCTTCCGGTGGGCAGCAGTGACTCCGGGGTGCATACGTCCAGTGATCAGCTGTATGAAGACGATCGTCTCTCACAGTCTTCCAGCCCCGAAGTGTACCAGGAGCGAGACCCGCCATTGAACCTGTTATATTATTCTGATGTCGGCTACTATCTAGTGTTCAACGAAGATGTAAGTGCTCTGGCATCTCTCAACGCTTGAGCTTTTTGTTGTTGTCTTTGCTGTTGTCTTTGCTGTTGTCGTTGCTGTTGTTGTTGCTGTTGTCTTTGCTGTTGTCTTTGCTGTTGTCTTTGCTGATGTCTTTGCTGTTGTCTTTGCTGTTGTCTTTGCTGTTGTCTTTGCTGTTGTCTTTGCTGTTGTCTATACTGTTGTCTTTGCTGTTGTCTTTGCTGTTGTCTTTGCTGTTGTCTTTGTTGTTGTCTTTGCTAAGAGCCTAGGCACGTACTTCGAAAATTGAAGTAGAAATCATGTTTGTATCATAAAAGCCTTGTTTTCATGTTCCTACTTCTTTTGCTACCTGTGTATGTTTGCGTGAGGGCGTTGTTGTTGAAAGCTAAATGTCTCTGACTCTCTGGTGACATTGTGGGTAGAAGTAGCGATACTTCTGAATGGGGCTGAATGTCTGCAACCACAAGCTTCCTAACTTGTGCTGTTTGTATCATGTGTGATGCATGCACTTGTCTGCGCAGGCTGAAGGACACAGTCTACTCGGTGGACCGGTCGACGCTCTTATAGCTCACGCCGCAGCCGATCAGAAGCACGAATCTGATCGCCTGTACCACGAAGCCTTCCTGCTGACCTACCGCACGTTTGTTGAGCCGGACGTACTCATCGAGAAGCTGCTGGAGCGTCACGACACCTTTCTGGAAGACGGCAACGACGTCATCTGCCACGCAACGCTAAGCTTGCTGCTGCGTGTTGTCGATGAAATCAAGTGAGTTTGCGCGCAGAACATCTGATTTGAACCAGCATGCCGATTCTTATTATTATTATTATACGCATTCCCGCGTTGAAGTGTAGCAGCAGTATGCTGCGTCCACAGCTTCGCTTATGCAGAATTCTAGTAAAACATATTTACCCGTCACCTTGCGAAATTGAAGGTCGGCAGCAGCACTTGGCCGTTCCTCTTACATAGTAATGTTGTATCTGGACTTTTTCTCCTGCTCCCAGCCCCGTGCCATCTCCACACTTAGACAAGACGACGAGATGATTACATTTAAAAGACCATATTTATGACAAGACGACGGAAAGACAACTGTAACACATGACAAACTCAAGACGAAGACTGCTTTTCACACCACAGCAACACGCGCATGCACCAGTACGACGTACACACGGCGTACACAGAATAACATGCTATAACAGTAACGTCGCGCTAGACATCACCGTATTAGTCCGTAATGCTGATCAACAACCCGCGACGTTGTCTCTACCAACAAGGACAGGCCGGAGAGGTCTTCGCTAGTAGTAAGCCTGCTGATGGCAATGCGTACTAATGGTGTATTGATGGGGCATGGGGTCGACTCTAGGCTAGTAAGAATAAATTGGTGATGTGTGTGTGTGTGCTCGCGTGTGTGCACTCGCATGTGTGTGCGCGCGTGTGTGTATGTGTGTGTGTGTGTGTGTGTGTGTGTGTGTGTGTGTGTGTGTGTGTGTGTGAAATGTTGCTTTGAAGTAGCCGTGCATTCGAATTATGTGTCAGGGGACTTATTTGTTACATACATGTACACTCAGGTGTCTGTCTCTAACTGAGTCACTTCTTGGCATCATGTCGCGCTGTTGTCTATAGGGGTAGCATGGATAAGAGCATCACTCAGCGCCTTCTGGACACAGTGTTCCGGTTACTGTGCGACAATGAACTGAAGCTCGGCCAGCTGCTGCACAACAAGCTTTTTGAAAACGTTAGTATGGATAGGTGCACTGCACGCCTCAGCACCAAGAGTAAGCATATTCAGCTTATGAGAATGACATCAGCATGATGTCATTGCTTATGCGTTGTATTGAGTGGCAACACTGGCAAGCCAGTGCTGTGATTTGACAGTTTTGCCACTACATACCACTCTTAGCCTCTATGCATAATGCATAGGCAGCTGGGGAGAACTCAGAAGTGACTGCATCTAAATCTTAGAAGCTCCAAAACCGTTTTATGTGTGGTTGAATAATTGCCCGGCCAGCGGCCGGTTCAACTAGTTTCTAGTTTCATTGAAAGAGAGCTTTGGCAATGCACTCTGCCGTGTGTGACCTACTGTCGGCATTGTGTAGACGGAAGTGCTCCAGTGCTCTACACTTCAGGTCAGAAAAGAGTATACATGTGCATGAAGATGTGGGAATATTGTCCATGTTGTTAGCAGTCGCAGCATTTATTTTAGCATATAAAGTAAAACCCGTGTTTGCCGGACCCTGTACCAAGCGGAATCCTGTATTGACCGGACTACTTTCGAGTTTCGATGCACCAAAAGTGCTGTGGATGCCGAACGTGCATCCTTGGATCAAGCACAATCCTGTCTTATCGGGACCGTTTACGCTGCACCAAGGGCGTCCGGTTAGGGCAGGTTTTACTGGACTTGCACTATTGTAATAGCTGGCAGCATGAAATGGTCAATTACCCAGATAGCAGACTGGAGCGCAATGAAATGTATCCGCATAGTAGAATTTTGCCCTGCTAATTATTTACTGCTGTCGTTCATTACATGTCCATTTTGCTTGTTCTGTCCACTATGTAGTTGAAGGCCAAGGGTCAGAAGATGATGCTTGCACGCGAGGCACTGGCTTCAAGCAAAGGGCCACCTCCAGCTGAGTAAGAACATTGTATAAAGCCATGTAATCACTTTCTTTGAAAGTTGGGGAGAATTCTAGTTCACTGCCATTCCTTAATAAACTGATGCACGTGCCCCATCTCAAACAATAGCAATACGTCTGGTTCACTGCGTCCCACTTTGTTACTTTGATTGCTACAGTAGTCGTTGCCATTGCGAGCAAGTGCACACAGATTTCAAGCGCAGTGATCTACGTTGTCGAAGTACTACGTACACATAATTGTCTGGTAATCAGGTATTGTGTATTGCAGCCACAGTGACCGTTCAAACATTGAACAGTCACAATGAGCTTGTAAACACTGCTAGTGGTTCCAACAGCCGGGCTTGTGCAGCTTGGGCACGATACGAACACAGCCGGACTTGTGCAGCTTGGGCACGATATGAACACAGCCGGACTTGTGCAGCTTATGTACGATATGAACACAGCCGGACTTGTGCAGCTTATGTACGATATGAACACAGCCGGACTTGTGCAGCTTAGGCACGATATGAACACAGCCGTGCTTGTGCAGCTTATGTACGATATGAACACAGCCGTGCTTGTGCAGCTTAGATACAATATGAACACAGCGTAGCGAAAGAGCGTCTGTTACAAGAGCTACCTCATTGCTATACAGCCGTTCCTCTTTAATACAGCACCCTCTATGAATCAGCTTATCACTCCCTTAGTATTGACTCCCGTAGATTTTTGCTATGCCTAAGCAGTCAAATATTCTTGCATATTTCACTCCTTAGGGCTATATTGACCGCTTATACTTGACTCCTCTGTAGGGATTGAACACAGGCTTTGGCTGATCGTGATAAATTGAATATTGACTTCGTACTTGGTCAGTATAGGAAATAAAACCTCGTAAAAGACCTCGGCTTTGCCATGGTCCTTTACTCGGCTTTTGTTTCCTTTATTGACCTCATACTCAGTCAATGTTAGATACATAATCATCAGCAACAAAAATGTCCTTTTCATGCACATTGCAGCAGTAAATCCGATTTGTTAATCCAGCATCCTCCCTAATCCAGCAGAATTTCCGTAGCACAAATGGTGCCGGATTAAAAAGGGACCACGGTACATGTACATGCATGATGCAGCACACTTGGGAACAAGCAAGGCACCAAGTAGGGAAGTGTTACAATTTAATACCGTTCGGGTGATAGGACGATGAAAGCCTCGTCCCTGATTTTGTTACGCATACTTGCAACTGCTTCTGACGTCTCTTTTGTTTGCGGCGTACCTTTTATGCCTGCCCTGCCTTGTGGCCTTAGCAAATGCTGGAGAGAGAGGGCTGTGCTTTGATATTCTTCATGTCCGTCCCGATCCGGGCCCAACGCACTACTATAGACAGGGTGATGTTTGGAACCATCAAAAGCACCAGGGGAGATCAACTTGCCGATAGAAAGATTTGTATGGTGTCGCGACAGAGATCTTTGAGTTCTGCGTTGCCTCTCGTGGATCATTTCGATGCTGTACTCTCTTTTCAATTACTTGCTCTTGTTAGTTGGAGTATCGCTCGGTTCAGAAGTCGTCAAGTTGCTCAACAGTTGACACTGATTGATTTTGCATTCTACAATGCTGTTGAGGTAGGTTGGCATTGTAGTGTATGTAGTGTTTGTCGCCGTATTGTTTCTCTCCATACTGTCTCTCATCTGTATTATATGCTCATGCTTGTTGTAAATAAAATTTAATGTCCTTTTCTTGTCCCGCGATAGGCTCCTGCATGTCATCTAGCGTCTCAATCACTAACTACCATTGCGAGTTCGAAGACCCCAAGCTGTCCTGCTGGAAGTGTGTTGACCATCTTCAAGTTTTTTTAGAACTTTGAAGCTCCATTGTAGCCTCGTCATCGTTTCACTGCACCTCCAACCCATATCACACGAACAGTCCGCAGCTACGCCACGCACAACAATTGTTTCCGAATCTTCACCCAGGAGGGCATCATCAGGGATCATGGGAAAACTTGGAAATACTTGCTGTGCGTCGTGTAGCCGAGGACTGTTTACATCTTGATTGTTTAAATGGTTATTCATGCATCCAGGAATGTGGTGATTGCGGGGTGTAATAGCTCAGTGCTGCTCGCTTTTGCTGTGTGTGTGTGTGTGTGTGTGTGTGTGTGTGTGTGTGTGTGTGTGTGTGTGTGTGTGTGTGTGCACAGGTTCACGAGTGTCTGACGTGGTCGGTGCATCAGTCGGAGGAGCGCTGTCCAACGCTGACGGCTTTCACTGAGCACTTCAACAATGTCAGCTACTGGTATGTAACCATGTACTGTGCACTTTCGCGGACAGTGAAATCCGCTGAGACGTCAAATGGCCATGGGACGCTGGCCTTGCAGCCCCGAGCACTGCTGGTCCATTTTTACAGCGTGTGCGTGAACTACCGCACATGTACTAGCTAAAAGCAGTAAGGGTGCTGGGCCTCGGTCATCCCATCAGGTTTCCATGTCCACAACAGTACTATGGCGTACTACAGTCAAACCTGTAACTTAAGACCACCGTGACGAGCGACCAGCCTGGTGCTACAGACCACTTGGCCAGGCACGGACGGTCTCACATTCATATGGTTGTGCGATGCAAACCTCTAACTAAGGACCACCTGCCACTAAAGACCGCTTTCTCTGGCCCCAAGGGGTAGTCGTTAGTCACAGGTTTTACTGTAGTTCAGAAATATTTTTTTCTGTATGGAATGACACACTTCCTATGACACACTTCCTCTACTCCCAATCGGGATAGACTGTACCGGTTTTGAATGACCACTGGCAGGGGGTTTCCCTACACTACAGGTGGAAAACAACACATATGTACAATAAAGTATTCAGTCTCACAAAGGGGTTTCGCACTTATGTGCTCCTCAGGCCGGAGAACTGGCGCTAGCGAGGTTTTCCAGAACTTTTCTTTACGAATTGCATTGTTCCAGTGGCACTAGGTAACTTTAGTGTTCTGAACCAGAGTTAATAAACATCGAGAGCATGCTGCTGATGGCTGCTACTTTGAAATGCCACGACATGCCGTCCAGTATCTGTCCACTTCCTCTTGCTGCAGGGTGCGAACACGACTTCTCGAGTCCGAGAAGAAAAGTGAGCGAGAGAAGGTCATGTCCAAGTTCATTAAAGTCATAGAGGTAAGTGTGTGTAACGTGTTGTGTTAAGTATGCTCTCGCTCTCCTACATGGGCCTCTTATTCTCTCGTTTCTTTCTCTCATTTCTTCCTCTTTGACTCTCACTCTTCCACTCTCTGTCTGTCTCTGTCTCTCTCTCTGTCTCTCTCTGTCTCTCTCTGTCTCTCTCTGTCTCTCTCTCTCTCTCTCTCTCTCTCTCTCTCTCTCTCTCTCTCTCTCTCTCTCTCTCTCTCTCTCTCTCTCTCTCAGTTTTGAACGTGCATTTTTCATTTGCTAGACTTGCCCGTCTACGTTAATGTAAAATTTAATGACTCTCTCTTTTTCCTACTCCCGCTCTTCCATTTCTCGACCTGCTGGCTTTCCTAATCTGATCATTTATATTGTGTTGCTCTGTTATTCAGCATTTGCGGGAAATGAACAACTTCAATTCCATGTTTGCACTGCTTGCGGCTATGGATTGTGCCGCGGTGAACAGGATGAATTGGCCGAAAGAGGCAATCAAGGTGAGAGATTCCACAGCATTTAGTGCTGCACAAATTCTTATTGCTTCCTACTTTGCCACATACTGGCTTCCACAGGAAATTTGTATTCACTACTTGAGGGAATGGATAAAGGGAAAAGTGTTAAGAAGAAATTGACTGTCACCACCAGGACTCGAACCAGGGACCTTCACTCGAGGCCAGTGATGCTCTAATCACTGAGCTATGGTGTAGCTGTGGTAGATTTGGTGTCACGTGTTTGTTTCGTCTTGGTCGCTGTGGACACGCGTCATTGGTTGGTGGTGTTGTGCGCATGCGCGAAACTGTGTGAGCTAGTCTTTGGTCTGTCGTCTTGTCAAGATGTAGTCGTTTTCCGTGTTCTTGTTCATTCGTCAATAAAAGAGTGTAAAAAGGCAGTCCAGTGGTGGCGGTTGAGCTGATGCAGTGATGAAGAGTGTAATGGTAGACTAACAACTACAACATTTGGCGCCCAACTATCTCTCGACGCGGAGTTCTGCCTCCGCAGCTCACGGCCCTGAGATGTGTGTTGCTCCCGTCACTGCTGGACTGTCCTGCTTTATTCGTCACCCCTGTCCGTGTTCGAACGTTCGTCGTGGAGCTGTGTCGTCGTGCTGTGTCGTCGTGCTGTGTCGTCGTGCTGTGTCGTCGTCCGGTGTCCCGTCGTCGTCGTCCCGTCGTCGTCGTCTACTCAATTCAATCAAGCTGACGCCCTCCGCTGAGCTGTGTTCAAGTGTCGCTGTGCGTCCGCCGTTTCGTTGTCCTGAGACGAGTGGAGTATCAGCTTCGCAGTTGGCTTCCTGCTGCTCCGAAGTCGTGTGCTGGCTGGGAATGCGCCGCCTTTCTTCTCTCCATATCTCTCTTCTTTTCTTTGTTTTCCGGTGAGTGTTTATGTGTGTGCATGCGTGCGTGCATACGGGAGTTTGTTTGAATTGCTACTTGTCTTGGGAACTGGCGTCTGATCATGGTGAACCACGGTTGGTTCTCCTTGTGGCAGTCCACATCGAAGGCAACGAACGTCCGATCAGGGTGAGCCCCGGTTCATTGCTGGGAGCTAGACTCGCTGCTTGTTTGTCGTTGCCATGTATATATTTTATTTATTTTTGTTTTTTCGGTGACAGTCATGGGTTTGGCTGGCGTTGTGTGGATGGGCAGGGCTCATCGGTTTTTAGGCTTAGGTTTAGCCTGTGTTTTTTTGTGTGTGCGTGGCTAGACAGCAATGCAGTGTTTCTTCTCTTCTCTTTAACATTCACCTCTCTTTCTTTCTTCTGGCTTTGGTTGCCCTGATTTTTTTCTGGGGAGCTACATGCGTTGGTCCTGTGGCTACTTTTGCTGTTTGCGGTTGCGTCTCTCTGCGTATTGTGTTTTATTTGGTCATACCGAGGACGGTATGTGTTTTTTTGGTCGGGATATTGTGGTAGATTTGGTGTCACGTGTTTGTTTCGTCTTGGTCGCTGTGGACACGCGTCATTGGTTGGTGGTGTTGTGCGCATGCGCGAAACTGTGTGAGCTAGTCTTTGGTCTGTCGTCTTGTCAAGATGTAGTCGTTTTCCGTGTTCTTGTTCATTCGTCAATAAAAGAGTGTAAAAAGGCAGTCCAGTGGTGGCGGTTGAGCTGATGCAGTGATGAAGAGTGTAATGGTAGACTAACAACTACAACAGTGTAGCTGTCATCCCAGCAGAGACCGTTCAATAGGAAAGTTGTAGCAATGAAAGTTAGGATGCAGACGGTAGGGAAAGTTGCTGGTCCGAAATTCTCTGTTTGCCTCATCGTGTTGTATGCTAGGCAACCCGGGGCAAATCAGTTAGCTCCTCCTTGTCCGTGACTTTGGGGAATTGTTATCGGGCAATTAGACCTTTCATGCCGGAGGAAAATTCGTGATCGAACATACGTGGTCAGATTGGCCAGGTGGTTGGTTGAGTGAGGTGGCTTGGAAGTGAGGTTCCGCTGTAAATCCCATTAAAATATTGTAGTAGCTAGAGAGAGCGGAGTCCTCCGGTTTGATAGAGTGCTCAATGCGGAAGCAGAGCAGTAACACACGAGTCACAGAGTACCACGCGTCTGGATTGGTGTAGCTAATAGTTTCATGCCAGATGGCAATCTTCAGACAACTGCTAGAGTAGCTAGAGTAGCTAGAGTACTTTTTTTATAGTTAAACCTGAACTGGTTCAGGATATTTGTTCTGGTGAAGGCTAGCATCGTCATTGCTCGATTGCCTGTGTGCCTGCAGAGCCTGGAGGAGCCACGCAAGATCATTGACAACATGAACGGCTTCAAGAACTACCGAGATGGGCTGGCTGCTTCAGGATCGCCATGCATCCCTTACCTGTATGATAACTTAGATGTTCAACTGCTTATGTTATGCCTAGCGTGCACAGATCTCCGAATTTCAAAACATGTGTGCACTCAAAGTATATGTGGCTCAGGATATACATGAAATTCCGGTTCATTTTCAGCATTTTCGAGTAAAGCCTACTCCTGCATCGTTGTTCTCCGTGAACCTGTGCGGATATGTGTGTGTGTGTGTGTGTGTGTTTGTGTGTGTGTGTGTGTGTTTGTGTGTGTGTGTGTGTATTTGTGTGTGTGTGCGTGCGCGCTTGCATACGTACGTGTGTGCATGCGTGCGTGCGTGTGCGTACGCGAATACATGCATAGTGTATTGATACCAAGATGGATGAACACGAGAAACGCCTTGTCCTCTGTTTACTATTTTCCTTTCTTCATCTGCTCGTTCAGGGGTTTGTATCTGCAAGACTTGACCTTCATCAACATCGGCAACACTAACATGCTCGACGATAACAAGGACTGTGTCAACTTTGCCAAGCGCTGGCGTCAGTTCAAGGTCATGTGCAAGATCAAGCAGTATCAACAACAGTAAGATTCATTGGGAACGTGTTCTTTTTTGGACGTTATAGTTGGTGGTTACCAGGTGGAGGGTACTGGCTGCTACTTAGCTCGTTGACATGCGTGTGTGTTCCAGGAAGATTCAGCATCAGGTGTTACATGTAAATGGTTGCTGTGAAGTCGTAGGTGTTTCTGCCGTTCTGCTAATCCGAGGTCAACGGGTCTCAATTTCAGGACTGGGTTTGGACAGAGTTAGCGGAGCTAAGAATTTGGTCACCCGAATAGTACCACGTGCAGTTTTGGGCAGAGTTTTTCTCTCTGAAACTTCATATCTCGCTCTCTGACTCGTTGTTTGTCCATCATCTGTCCTCACTGGTTGTCCCTCACCAATCCTTTTCCACACTGTTATTCCTCGATTTCTCCGATTTTCTCCACTACTCCACTGCACAGCGGGTATGAAAGTACGAAGCGCGACGAGGATATCATTCAGTACTTCAATGGATTCAGCAGCCATCTGGGAGAAGAGGTATGTTGCGTTCATGAGCGTTTGGTTTGGTCAGGCGAAACAAAAAGTGGGAGGTTTGTGAGGGGGGGGGGGGGGGTGCGCCTGAATTTCCATCAAAGGTCCGGTTTGATTCGAAAGAAGGTTGTATCGTGCATACATGTTGCATGTATGCTGACCACGTATCGTTGTCGTGTTAGGTGGTTAGCGTGCAGGATCCATGTACATGTGCATGTAGCGCTTATGTGTACTAGAACTGAACTGCGGTGTTTCGTAGCCAATGCACACACACACGTCTAGTGTGCACCGTAGTGTTAATGCTAGTGGTGCTGCGGCGCGGTTCAGCTCCAGTGCAGTGTGCTACATGCGGGGTTGCCAGCCTGAAGGGTCTACCAAAATGCAGCATAGTGCTTCGCGGAACTAATATTATTCATTGCTATCATTAAATTATTGTCTCCACGTCGCTTATTTATTTACTGCTTTTTTTTGTTTGCTCACTTGCGCGCCATATGTGCATGTGATGTGTACTAAATCAGACTCATTACAAATACCAGTACTGATAATAGAGTGATGGAGAGTTACGTACCCTTCTCTTTCTGAGCCTGTATTTGTGTGTGTGTGGGGGGGGGGGGGGAGTGATTTTTGCCATTTTTATCCGTTGGTTCATGGAAAGGATACAGAAGGCTAAATCCTGTAAAGAATTCTTCGAACCTTTATTTGTTGAGGGAAGGGTTTGTCTCAAGACTGTAGACGTTTGCTTAGAACCTTGATTCATGGAGATCGTATTACAGAATTTTTCGAAAAACCAATATTCTCACACAGTCATGGTCTTGGCTTTGATGGAATTGCGGTATTCTGTCCGCCTTTTGTCACTTCACAGGAACTATGGGAACGCTCTATGCTGCTGAAGCCCCGAGCTCCGTCTTAACTGTCAGCATTCAGCGGGACTCTGTAGTTTGCACACGGATTGGCCCCGCCTCGCCACTGCACAAGTACCACAAGAAATGTTCTCGTCACACAACACGAATCACCCAGAACTGCTCATCCCCGTGCTGAAGGCATTCTGGCAGAATGTACCCAGAGGAATTTATTTGTTTCTTCATCCGAAACATGACAATTCAAGCTTCTCCTTCGACTCTAGTGTTTGCAGATCGATCAATCAACCGAATCCAATGGTCGGGAAAAAACATGTGTTGAATTAAAAACCGGTCTTTGAGACAGGCCATTCATTACTGCCTGCAAAAAAGTGCAGAGTAGAAAGTTTGATTATTGCCACCGAAATGCTGAACAGTCTGCCTGCAATTGATTATATTTTGAAGTCTGGCATATTATTTTCTATATGAGCGCATTTGTATTTCCAATCTACTACTATCTTGGCTGCCTGGATCTGTCGGTTCCGGGCTCTGTGTTCTTATGTCATCATCATGGAGTAGCGTCTGAAAAAAATTGCTTGTCGAGAATACATAACAATTTCTAGCCACCGGCCCACTAATTAACACCATCTCACGAATCGCTGTTGATGTCAACAAGTCAAAGAGTTTATTTGAGACATGCACGGAAGCTGTTGGCATATCTCTACATTCTGCTGCTAAACAACACCCTTGGTTGTAGCCAGGTTGCTGCCTGCGTGGATATTATCATGAGTATTGGAACAAGCGTGTTGGTACTGTGTCTTGATGAACTGAGCTCCTTAGTCTGAACGTATAACTATGTGCTATGATTGTTACGTGCAACTACTGGATTTCCTGGTGACTATGTATTGCGGTGTTGCTGCATCCGAGCCGTAGCTCCAGTGTGCGGGATATGCGGAGGCACTTGCCAGGGACACAGGGATATGTGGGTTTGGCCAGTACCATGGCTGAGAGTCTGAGACACAGAGGGGGCACCAGATTCAAGCCCTGCATGCTTGGAAACCTGTATCAGTATATGGCGTTTTCAACCATGCATTCTGCAAATCATGTTCGGTTCTTAGTAGTTAGAACATTATCGTTATACCGGTAGCCAGGTTGTTGATGCGCGAGTTGGTCTGGACTGCATCGTGATCGGTCCGATAGGCCGGTCACGTACTCTGAATTTCGCTGTCGGAACAGCTAGATGTCCGGAGATTCAGCTTACACTCCCCACAGTGATAATGGCTACTGTAAGACCAGATATTTTAACGCCATGGCAATTAAAGTTAACGATCTCCGGATTTAACGAGGTGAAATTCTAACGAATTCTGTCTCAAAACTGGCAAATGATTGTACACATCGTTTTAGTACATGACGACTTCAATATTTTAAATTCGTTAAATCGTTAGAATTAAAATTAATTAATGTTTGTTAACATTACTGGTCTTACAGTAGCTAATACTCATTTACTGTAAGTCCCTTTTTTTCTTTCAGACATGTTTGCAGTACCCTTTGATGTCGGTACTTTCCACCTGGCCTAGACTAGAGTCTCATTATCAGATGAACAGCTACGGTAGGCACATTTTAAAAGTACAGCAAGAAACTTACACAAATTTTACACTCTTCATCAGGCCAGGACTCAAGAAACGTTTTTCCACAAAACAGTTTTCGCGCATTCTCTTCGAATTCCAAGCAACTAGCACCAATGAAAAGTACGGATAAACACATGTAGCATCACAGGGGTGGGAACCGTAACAGCTACTTCGAAGTAAGTGGTAAGCGAAGGAATAATAATTATGCAAGAGGGGAGAAAAACAAAAGGAAAGAAAGAAAGAGAAGGTGAGAAGTTAAATTAAAGTTAAATTATTATTATTTGAGTATCATGTCGGCATAAGCCAATAAGCATGTACTTGTAAATGTAATTTCGGCGAGCATAGCGAGAAAAAGAAAACGAGGAAATACGTAAAATCTTGAATGATCTACTCTTCATGCAGCTTCATTCTAAAATATGACTGTTGCCAGCAACACTGATCGCCACTCAACGGCTGCATTGCACACAAAGGAGAAAAAACACACGTGCAGTAAGATTATAGTCTACTCCAGTGTGCAGTAGACGCAGGCAAGATGGAACCGAAATGAGCATGTATCGCAAAAGCTCCTGCGGCTGCTGCCAGGTCTATTGGATAAAAAAAAGTTCACACGTCCGCGTAACAACCGCCTATACAATGGATAACCTCATGGAATAGACTGGGGGAGAATTGGTTAAGCAGAATCGATGATCTAACAATTTGGGAGCTGGAGCAGACATCTAGTAGGTGAGCTGTTATTGAACTAGAAAAAATGCTAGTGCGAATTTGCGTGTGTATGGAGAGGGGGTGTGGGGGGGGGGGGGGAGCAGCAGAATTTATTTGACGTTTAAAACCGTTCAAAAAAAGTCTAAAATTGAGGATGATTTTACATGCTGAAGGTTGAAAGCAGAGAGGGAGGAGGAAGAAGAAGTCAAAATGCCTAGAGCCTGAGAGGCTGATACGCATGGCATACAAACTAGGGCTGTGGTGCCATGGTTTCTAAGCCATTCATCATGAGCGGAGGACAGACCGGACGCCCTAACGAGAGAACAGTAATCAACAGAAGGAGAACACCAGAGTGATAAATTGGAATTCGACAATCATGATTTTATTCAGTACACGTAGCATGCGGTTCACAGGGGATGAGGTCATCAAGAAATACACCAACGTGTTTGTGAGTTTTACTTTTTAAGTAGCTATAGATTGACGAGTCAGGTGGGGAGGGGACCTAAGCTGTGGTGGTGGATGGCGATTCCGGTCAAATCTGAAACGGCTGAGGTGGAATGCAGACCGGGTTGGCTGACTTTAACGCACTGGGAATTACCTTGCACGTGCTCATACAGAGTACACGGCAATGGCGAGAATATCGGCTAGTCGGCTAGTCGGCTAGTCTCAACAGCCTGACAAGCAAGGGGAGGGGGGGGGGGGTGTCCGTACAACAACACAAATCAAGTACAGCTGGTAAGCTGCATATGATGCAACTGGACCGTGCTATCTCCATTATAAGCCCCGCGCTTATACTTTTTCAACCAGTCCGGACTCTGGGCTTATACTAGAGACTGGGCTTCTACTACTAAGACTAGGCTTACTGTGAATATACAAAATTTCGGCGCTGCAAAATTTCGGCACTTCACGATTTTTGACATTTCGGCGGCGATTTATTTTCGGCGTGGGGTAGAGGGCATGGTATAGTGCGACAGATGCTGTGAAAAATTTCATCGGCGTTTTAATTTAGGCGTTTTGGGTCGGTGCCGAATATAGCCGAAATTAAATAGCTGCCGAAAATTTGTATATTTACAGTATAATTTTTCTACCATCTGGTACATGTACATAATAGTGAGTCAATGATGATAATACAGTACATTGCCTATTATTTTTCATTATACCAGTTGCACAAAGTTTCCCAGCAGGTACCAGGACTGCAGTTTTGTGCTTCCTGGTACACTGAGTCTGAAATTTAGATTTCGGGGATCACAGACGATCACCGCAGCATGTGTTTATGTGAGACTGCGCGACATCAAATGTGCATGGACATGATCCATACAGTTTTCCATTATAAGCCCTGCGTATATATATATATGGAGACGGCGCTTGTATCTTCGAAACCCTCTTGGAGTGCACTTATAATAGAGACTGGGCTTCTACAAGAGACTGCGCTTGTAATAGAGGTGATACGATATTTCACTGAAACCGGTGAGTTCCGTGCCATTTCAGACTGAAGACCTTCCTTATTGGAAGGTTGAGAACGGAGCAAGGATCCCACATAGCTTGTAACGTAAGAGAAAGCCAAATTCAAGTACTGTATTTCCGGAATATAAGCTGTGACAAAAAAACCTGGGTGCGGCTTCTACTGCGGAGAATACGGGTTTCATTCTTTTTGACAATAATTATAAAGAACTGTTGGTCTATTGTTCTGACGAGTGGCATTTGAGAAAATATAGGTAATGTGATGACGTCATTGGACTAGGTCACGTGATTACATCATCAATTGTGATGTTGTGTATGGAATGACATCACGAGCGCTGGTTTGATACTTGCCCAAGTAAAATAATAAAATACAAAATACAATACACTTACCATAACCATCTCTCCACTCGACTTGATGATTGTAGCACTTCATTTGGGGCCCTGAAAGTGATCTTTTTGATCTGGCTGACTGGTTTGGTCACGTTGCTGCACGACACACACAACAAAGAAGCAGATGACATGACAGTGGAAACCAGCATTTAGAAGGCACGACGAGAAAGGAGTGCAAAGGCTATAAAGTGCGATGTACATGTACAATAGCTCACAGTTTGTTTGTGGGCGTTTTTGGAGAATGGTCGGGGAAGGAGTACTGGGCCTATTTCTACGTGCCTGTTTATGTTGACCGTGATGGACATGATAGCATTGTATGTGTTGGGCGCCCCCCCCCCCCCCCCGTGTTGGGCGGGACCCCCCCCAAAAAAAAAACACAACTGCACACACCGGGTCGTACACAGGTGCAGGTATACAGTGATGTGCAATCGACTGACAGGTCAAAGAAATCATAGTCATTCGGTTTGCCCAGGGCTAGGTCAGATATGCCGGCTGTACACGTCCTGTACAAGGCCGGCGTGATCAAACCCACCCACAGAACGTACATCCCACGTCAACACAATCTGCTCAGCACACGGCCAATGTTGTGCCTGAATGATTTCCTGAGGATACTCACCTCTTGCATCTGTTGTTTGACATGTGCCAAATTGCCAGTCTCTTCATCTGTCAGAGTTGTCTGTGCAGCTGCAGCATGTGCTTCGTCCAAAGGCACACATTGATGTGGGCTGGTCACTGGTCGTTCGCTTAACGGTACGCCAGCTGGATCTTGATCACTGGCCAGTTGCATTGCAGCTAGGCTTTCTTCCACAAACGGTGCTGGAGAGTTCACAGCGAGGTGCTCACTGGACTCTGGTGATGTTCCTAGGTGGATCTGTTGATTGAGCTTACTGAACTCTGATGGTAGTTCGATCGGCTGATTGAATGTGCTCATCAAGTATTCCAACTCGACGCGCTTTCCAGGTGATTGCTCAAGGCAGCGTTTGATGCACGGTATGATCAAATCAGCCTCTGGTAGCCCTGCTTTGAGTTTCCTTAAAGCGCCTTGGTGGCCGTCATCAACGTCGGATTCACTTGGCTCGCACCTTAGGACCATTACCATGAACATCACCGCAACCTGGAACACATCCGACGCAGGGTAATAGGCAGCCACGGGCTGTTCATCTTCACCTCCTGTGTTAATCCTGGCTTCCGGAGGTACATACCTGGACATGAATTTGTTGCAGTCCTCTTGGTCACAAGTTACACAGGCAGCCCCTTCTGGCAGATACTTGGCAGCGCCAAAGCCACCAAGCTTGGCTTGACCTCCTTTATCCAACAGCACATGCTCCGTTGTCGTTTGGCGATGAAGAATCCGGTGAGCTTCGGAGTGAAGGTGATTTAAGCCGCACAATACATCGCGAGCAATTTGAAATACTTGAACTAGGGCCAACTGTGTGATGGGTAGTGGCTGCATGCTATACCAAGTTTGTAGGTTATAGCAAAGTCTCTCCAGAACAATGTCAAGCTGGTCCGAGTCGCAGAAATAACGCACAATGTTGGGATGGTTAGCCCTGGCTAGTATATGGGCCTCTTTGCGCTGCCATTGATCACTTCGCCGGTATTGCTTTAGAGCCGCTGGGGCTCCGGAGATTGTGCACGGCCAGACAGTTGAGGAACATCCTTCTCCAAGTTTAGACGCTGTCCTATCTACCTTAACATAGTAGCGATCACTTTGAAATGAACCCGGTGCTTTCCGAGGCTTCATCTTCCGCGATCCCTCTGCGCCATCTGCGGCTAACAAAACACACACACACACACACACGGCACACACACACACACACACACACACACACACACACACACACACACACAGTCATGTAGACCCTAGATTACTGTAGAACAGGTAATTTTAGCAACTATTAATTTTAGCGTTTTCCCATTGTCAACCGGTTAGTGACGTTTTATTTTAGCGATTTGCAGCGATTTTACTGACGCCGTCACGGATCACTAGTGCACTACTAATGTCCCAACGGAATAGCGACTTGAAACTTTAGCCAAAATGAGTCGATCGCTAAATGCGCTAGGGTTTTTACGTCGCTAAAATTACCCGTTCTACCGTATAGACGGTTCCTTTGTCTTGGTTTCTAGTTTACATCGAGCTGGAACAATTTTGCTGATAACTCATCATCTCACATGTATATTCGCACTTAGCATTTAGTTAGCAAATGCCATAATCATGACCACACAGGTTACTTTCCAGGAGCGTGCACAGGAATTTGACGAGGGGAGGGGCGCAACCCCCCCCCCCCTCACCATGTACAAGTACATGCATATGTCAATCACTCATGTGTATGCGTGCATGATAGGCCCAGACAGATTCTGCTGGCAATTCACAATTCTTTCGGCAAAATACCACCAAAGTATTGAGAAAATCGGATAATCCCGGCAAAATCGGAGCAAAATATCGAGATTTTTGGGTAAAATTGATGCCTGATCCTTGGATTTCCTTGTTTTCTTACCCACTCGGCACGATACATCGCACAGGGTAGGATCTTTTCACTGAAAGTATCACCGGGATTCACTGTGGATCACCATGATATTGAAGAACCCGGACATATGTGTGTGGAAACTCGTGTTGAAAAACCGACTAGGAAACATTGTAAGGGAAGTGGGTAAAATACCCGTTTTCCGGAGCAAAATGGAGCAGAATATCGAGTTGCTAGATTGTAGTGCAAGGCTCAGCATAATATCGATGATGTTGCATCAAGATATCGAGGCGAGCGGAGTAAGAGCAGAATCTGTCTGCACCTAGTAGTGTATGCATGACCTTTTTTTCTTTTTTTTTCAAAATTCGGCTCAAAGCATGCAGTACTTGAAGTCACCGCTTGCAGTACATATCATCATACATTTTACATTCACGCTATAGAGCCACTAAAACATCAATTTTCGGCGAATTCAGTGCGAAATTTCTAAATTCGGCACAATTTTCGGCGATTTCTTGACAGCCATTGATGTCGGCATCTTTTTCTGCTGACCGATCTTGGAAAAGCCTTTAGTCACAGTCACCTTTCGCAGTAAAATGGCTACAGAAATTGTATTCGAATGCTGTAGAGGCACCAAAACATCGATTTTCGGCGAATTCAGGGCGAAAATTGCATAAACGACTGTTTTCGGCCGGCCGATTTGGGAAAATGCCTAATGCTGAATTATGTGACGTGCAATAGTAATGTCTCTTTGGGTAGTTGTGCAATGTGCTGCTGTGTGTGGCGGTGAACGGAAACAATTTAGAAAAAGGAAAAAATACCCAGAAGAATCCAAAACATTTTCTTGTGACCTTTAGTCCTTTCTTTTAGATTTTATCACCGGAGTGTTGCGATTATTGTCATGTGATCTACTGCACTGTGCAACAGAATACTGTATAACATGATGTAATGTATGCCTTCATACTTTTAGGTGTGTTAAAAAATTCAGTGTCAGGGACCTGCCAGGTTTCAGGTGTAATGTAAAATTAGGTGACTAGCATTCCCTTCACACACAGTGCATACTCGAGTGCATTTTATGTGCAATGTAAATAAAGGTGCCTGGTTTCTCCAACGAAATTACCGAAATGAAATTAGTTACACTGATAAAAATATATTAGCGCGTTAAGCAGTAGTTTGTGCATAGTGCTAGCACATCCTGCAGAGTGCGAGGGCGTGAGGAAGTACACTGGACATGTGTAGTGCCGTGTGTGTGTGGGGGGGGGGGGGGGGCTGCAGGCCGAGTTTTTCCGCATCCACGGGAACGCCACCACCCTGTATGGATGTGTGGGACAACCCACACAGCAATTACAAATTGTGCTGACTGTTGGTAGCCTCACATCAGGGCCGGAGGCTGCTTCCGCGGAGCGGTGCGGCCCAAGGGCCATGTTCAAGGGGGGTCTGGGGGTCCTCCCCCAGAATGTTTTTGGAATTTAGACGGCAAATCCTGCACTCTGGGCGACTCCCTGTACAAAATCATACATCGAAACTTTTTCTCCCCGGTTTTGGACGTTCCACGTGGACCGACTTTTTGGGAAGTTGGTACGGCCAAGGCCGTACCAGTGGCGCCGGCCCTGCACATCGATAATCCCTCTGTAAAGTAAAGAAAAGTTAGCCGGATCCGCAGCCGCGTCACCTGACGTGTTTAGGAACATATCAAGCAAATACATTCGCATCGGGGGGGGGGGGGGGGGCACCACTTCGCCCACTATCCTCAGTGTCGAATGCAGACCTCACAAGTGAGTCAGGGGAGTCCCTCTGTATGCAAATAATAAGCCCAGTGCATCTTTAATGGGTTGCTTGGGTGGGAGAGTTAAGAAGAACCACTTACTTGTCTCGTTTGGCTTCGTGTTGTGATTCGCTTTGTACAGTTGTCTGAGAGCTGGCAGGATGGCATGGAGTCGAATTCCGATGTTGGGGTTGTATTTCGTGCCATCATTGTATTTCGTGCCATCAATACAATATTCCCAGAAGCCGAGATGCATGCCATCCGCACGGTATTCACAGATACCTGCACTACTGCTATTCTCCGAGTAGATAAGAGATCCGGAATTTCCGCCTGTCGTGTCAATGTAATGGCGAAAGAGGACGCGTTTCACGTCCTCCCTTGCATCATCGTCACGCCCATCGTTCGTTCCGTCTTGGCGATCAGAGCGGTGTTGTTGAGGCATTGGGTACAGAGCAGCTGTTTTTCGCTCACTTTCGAATCGCTTCTCAGGACTACCCCGTGACTGGTTTTGATCATAAGCAACCAACTCACTCTCGGGGATCATGTACAATCCAGCCGCAGGTAATTTATTGACCTGGTCTGGGTAGCCACAGACAAATGCTTTTGCGACATACACATCCTGCTGGTTATCACTGTCCATGTCCCCAACGGCTATCATCTCCTCTAGCTCTGGCAGACACTTCTTGTACCTCTCCGCAACTTTATTCTTTCGCACAGCAATAAGGCCATAATCATGCACAAACTGATGGTTGTATCTCCCAATGTAACCATTGTTGCCAGGTGTGTACTCCTTGTACTGGTCCGAGACTGCCAGCCACCCATACTCGTTGTTCTCACCTACCCACACATCAGGCCCTTGAAGTGTTCTGAGCGGCTGGTCTTGGTTCTTGGGCCAGTCTAATACGATCTGCGTCATACGGTACCAAGACCCCCGCTTCTCCTTGTGTGTGCCCTGAGGCTGTGTGCGCGCTGCATGCCCACACTTGAAGCAGTATATCAAATGAGCAGGAGCAGCGAATACATACACGTTAGCGTCTTCGGGGTTAATCTCCTTGAACATAATGCAGCCCCCGCCACCACGATCACAGCATCTTTGGCAGAAGGTGTGAATTTGAAATGTGCATTTCTGCGCAGAATTCAGGCTCCCCTCCACTGCCTTACGTCGATCCTGACCTTCTTTAATTAGCGCTTCAGTCGTCATTAGTCAAAAGTATTACCGTGAAGAACAACTGTAGTCCAAATAGTTGAAATACTAAGAAATAGCGGTTATGCACCCAACTAACGTTAACTGGACTGTACGAAAACACGTGCACGGTAATTACAAGGGAGTCGTATACCAGTGAAGGCAAGAGGCAAGATACGAATCTCGACTCGCTTGAGGCAAGCCGCCAGGAGAACGACAACTAATTGCTTTTGAGACGAAAGGCCTTCGTTGCGTTTGTTTTGAGTGTAACATGTTCATCTTCCTCGGCCGCGAGTCCGACTCCGCGACACAAAGTTTTGAGTCACGTGTCACGATTACTATGGGAACAGCATAGTATGTATGCTGGGGCATGCTGGGCTCCGTGATGTCCTATCTAGGACATCTCCAGGACACCATGCGCCAATGGGCCTTGGCACAACAGCGGCAGCTCTACGGAGTGTTCAACTTCAAGTGAGAAACAATTTTTTTTTGTTACATTTGTTTCGACTTTTGGTGACGTGGACGAACAAATCGTCGGTGCCGAAAAACGTGGCCTGTGTCGCGAATTCGATATTACGTAACATTCGCGAATGCTAAAATAACTCAGTTTGAATGTTTCACGTAACTTTTCTCCTTTTTTTGTCTATCGCCATATTTGCCATGGCGATGTGCAGTGCTGGCAGTTTTTCATGCGCATGCTTTGATCCTTTGGCGATCATCTTTTTGCTTGCTGACTACACTCGAGGAGTTTCAGTTTTCTTATCCTAATGGTACGTCTGACGACGATCAAGTCCAATCCTTGTTGCTCTGTGTCTAATGTCAGTAACAATTAATCCAGTAATGATAGAGCTACAATTGTAGAGCTCTCTCGACTCAGTATTTTGTGAGTGGCAATCAGGCCGGGAAATTCAAACTGTATTTATGCCACCACAAACTGGTGCCGAAACCCGGGATTTGATAATTTAGAGCCATGAGCTCCCCGGCTGTTACTTCGAGACTTTCTCCGAAGCAGAGAACTGACAAGAAGTTATTGGACAGAAAACATGCTGACCTGGAAAAGGACCTTGAGAAGTCAGATGAATTCTCAGCGTACCGAACAACTCCCAACGATCAACTGGAAGACGCCATAGCAAAGCTAAGTCCTTTTTTGATTGAATTTCGTACCTCTGTCTCTTCTTATGGGAAGGTGTGTGAATCATTTGGGGATAGTCTGTCAAACCCTGCGGAAGACGTTGAGGCTGCTGTTGACTGGCACCTAGACCAATTTGTCCAACTTGAGAGACGAGTCCTCTCTTTGAATGCTACCCTCTCGTACTTGGAGAGCAGACGCCCCTCAACTCAAAATGTACAACAGCAAGTACCCTCGCAGGATGCTGCCACAGCAGCACTCATTAGCACCATGGAATCTTTGATAAAGGTCCAGACCAGTCAGCAACAACAGCAATCAGGTCCAAGTACCAGTACTAATTCTAAGACCACAGCCAATGTTTCGTTACCGAAACTTTCATTGCCTACGTTTGATGGGAATGTCATGAAGTATGCTGAATTCTCAGATATGTTCCGTTCTTGTGTTGATAATAACTCACTGTTATCTAATGCCGAAAAGCTCACGTATCTCAAGTCTTGCCTCAGGGGGGATGCACTAGACGCAGTGTCTGGTTTCCTATGTACGGATACAAACTACCAACCTGTTGTCGATATCTTACAAGAAAGATTTGGTAATACTGAACGGGTCATTCATGCTCGTTACACTGCACTCATGGGTATCCCTGCTTGTTCAAACAAAACCCAGTCCATCAGGTCATTCTACGACCAAGTTGAAGAGCAGTTACGCTCCTTGCAAGCATGTGGACAGGATATCAACCAAAGTGTATTTGTATCGATGATATTGTCAAAGCTTCCCCAGCATGTTGTTCTCCAGTTGGAGTTGAAGAAAGTTAAAGTTCACTGGTCGGTGAAAGATCTCCGCAAAGCAATTCAGGAATATCTCATGGCCAAAGAAGCAGCAGAGGCACAGTCCTCACTGGCCACACCAAATCCGCCGAAACATACGGAACACAAACCGAGATCAACGGCAAATCAGTCTGCTGCTGTTTTGTTAGGCAATTCACGTCCCACCGAACGGCAACCACGGTGTCACTTTTGTCAAGGCAAACACTTTTCTGACGAATGCAGTACATACACGTCTGTCGATAGTCGAAAAGCCAAGCTGAATGACCAGTGTTTCCGGTGCCTCCGAAAGGGACACCCAGCGCGAGCGTGCTCTATTTCTCGTCTTTGCTATCATTGCAGACAACCCCATCACCGTAGCCTGTGTCCGCAAAAGTTTGCAACAAGCGCATCCACTCTGAATGCTGATGCCGAGGCGTACGCTCCACAGCATACTTTAATAGCACTAGGCGAGCACACTTTCATGCAGACGGCAGTCACTACAGCACATCATGGAACCGGACAGTGTGAAGTACGGATTCTTTTTGACACTGGCGCAACTAGGTCATTCATCACATCTAAGGCACGTGACATTCTTAGCTCACCGACGATCCGCAAGGACACCTTAGCGACATCAGGCTTCGGTAGCTCCGACAGAAGAATTCAGTGTCTAGATGCCACGGAAGTACTTATCAAGATAGCAGATGGATCGAAAATGCCACTGTCACTAAATGTTGTACCGGTCATTTCCAGCCCGATTTTGAAAGTGCCGGTAGTCGCGAAGAACCGCCCTGAACTAGCAGGCTTCCGTCTAGCTGAACCGTTGTGTGAGTCAGAAGAACGTGTCAGCATTGATATACTGATAGGAGGAGATTACTACTATGACATTCTCCTTAGTGACCGAGTAACCTTCTCCGATGGACTCATTCTCCTCAATTCAAAGCTAGGCTACATCCTCGCAGGCAAGTCATCAGAGAAGTGCAGCGAGGCCCAAACCCTGTTCGTGGATAGCGAAACGCCTGATCCACTCCAGCGATTTTGGGCTATAGAAGACGACACAACCACAGTAAATGCTTCAACTAGCGACACTGAAGCCATGCATGCTTTTGAAGATAGTATCACTCAAGACAACAACGGAAGGTATGTCGTCAAGTGGCCTTGGCGCTCTAACTCGCCTCCACTACCGAACAACTTCGGTCTTGCATACGGTCGCCTGAACTCACTACTCAACCGTCTCAGGCAGGAACCGTCGAAGCTTCGAGCCTACAATGACATCCTTGCGGAACAGCTAAAGCTAGGTGTAATCGAGGAAGTCGACAGTCAAGGAAGCCAGTTTCTCACCCATTACTTGCCGCATCACTGCGTCGCAAAGGATAGCACTACGACAAAGCTCCGTCTTGTATACGACGCTTCCGCGAAGTCGTCTCCGAACAATCCATCACTAAATGAATGTCTTCACCGCGGTCCAGTACTGTTACCAGATCTCGCCGGCGTTCTTTTGAGGTTCCGCCTTGAACCCATCGCTGTCTCTAGTGATGTAGAGAAAGCATTTCTCCAACTTTCACTCGCTAACGAAGATCGAGACGTCACGAGATTCCTATGGGTTCGAGATCCTTTCCAGCCACCCGCTGGAGGAAACATCATCACGTATCGCTTTTGTCGAGTACCATTCGGAGTTATCTCGAGCCCTTTCTTGCTCGGAGCTACCATCCAACACCACCTTGAATCATCCGGTAGCCCAGAGGCATCCAACATCATGCAGAATACGTATGTTGACAACGTCCTTCTTGGTGTAGACTCCGTCTCGACTGGTATCAACCTCTACCATCACGCCAAGTCAGTCTTCGCCGATGCCTCCATGAACCTCAGACAGTGGTCCTCTAACTCAGCAGCCCTCATAGAGAGCATCCCAGAATCAGATCGTGCGTCTGGCGAACACCAGAAGGTCCTTGGGCTAGATTGGCACACTGTTACTGATCACCTCAAAGTAGCAAACACATCAGCGTCGGACACACTAGTCCGAACCAAGCGCGAGTTACTTCAGGCCGTAGCTCAGTTCTTCGATCCACTTGGCATCCATTCGCCCATCGTCGTGAAGGCCAAGCTACTCTTACAGGAAGTGTGGCGGCAGAAGCTCCAATGGGACGAAGCACTCCCAGTTTCTATTCTCCACACGTGGAAAACTCTCGCTGCAGAACTCGACGATGCTACAAATCACAGCATCCCACGTCCATGCTGCATTCCAGAAGCCGACCAACACACACTTCATGTCTTCTGCGATGCTTCGCAAACTGCCTATGCTGCAGTTGCATACTTGTCATCATCGTCCGGATCTGCTACTGAATCGCACCTCATTCTTAGTAGATCTAAGTTAGCTCCGCTCAAGCCCTCTCCGAAGTTAACCATCCCAAAGTTGGAACTCATGGCAGCAGCACTTGGTGCTGATCTCATCGCCTTCTTGAAAAAGCAGCTCCCGATTAATCTTGATCACATTATTCTATGGTCCGATTCTACATGTGTGCTAGGATGGATCAACAGTCGCAAGGACTTACCTTCCTTTGTCCAGCGTCGAGTCGCTCGGATACGTAAATCTGAAGCCGAGTACCGCTACGTTCCTTCGCGAGACAATCCAGCTGATCTCCCGTCGCGAGGAACATCTTCTCACCTCTCCGAAGAGTCCATCTGGTGGCACGGCCCAGAGTGGTTGCAGAACCCACTCGTTCCAGAACCTGAACAGCCCAATACGGAAGAATCGAGGTCTCCGTCCAAAAAAAAAGGAGTTAGTCCACCCTCGGTTTCATTACATCCGCTCAAAAAAAAGGGTGTAGTGATCCTATTGAAGCTGTCTCTCTTGTTGTTGGGGAAGATCCTTCGGAACCATTTGATCTAAGCGCGTCGGACTTCTCAACAATGGGTCGACTTGTGCGTGTCACAGCATGGGCTCAGCGTTTCATCCGAAACTGCAGAAAATCAGCAACCAAGAAACTTAAAGATCAGCTCACTGTTTCCGAACTGTGTAGTGCACGCAACCTGTGGCTGCAGTCATCCCAGAGAAACCACTGTACCGACGTAGTATCAGCCATCCGGGAACAAAGGAAGAACAACACCGTACAGTCTCTTCGTCTCTACATCGACGACAGAGGACTCATCCGAAGCCGTGGAAGACTTGAACATGCGAACCTTCCACCTAGCTCTAAGTTCCCCATTTTCTTGCCTCATAACTCAGCTGTAACACGCCTGCTCGTCGAAGAGCATCACCGCATCCTCATGCATCCTGGAGTGTCGCATACTCTTGCTAGTATAAGGGAGAAGTACTGGATCCCTAAAGGCCGCAGTACCGTAAAGACCATCCTAAAAAAGTGCATCACATGCCGTCGAGCTGAAGGTGGTCCGTTTGACATGCCAGCAATGGCTCCATTACCACCGGAAAGAGTCAACGTAGCAGAAGCATTCCTATACACCGGCGTCGACTACTTTGGTCCTCTCTTCGCGAAGACAGCTGAAGCATCGGTAAAGGTTTGGGTAGCCCTCTTCACATGCCTATCAACACGCGCAGTCCATCTCGAGCTTGTCACGGATATGTCTTCAGAGCAATTTCTACTAGCCTTCCGCCGTTTCGTATCACGTAGAGGTGTGCCCAGAGCGATGTGGTCAGACAACGCGCCACAGTTTAAAATGACGAAGACAACCCTCGACAAGGCTTGGAAGGAGGTGATCAGCGACCCAGCAGTAGCCGACACCATCACGGCACGCGGCACCGACTGGCACTTTAGTGTGCAGCACGCCCCTTGGATGGGTGGAATTTATGAGCGAATGGTAGGGCTTGTGAAACGCGCTCTCCGCAAGACTGTCAGATCAGCCCACCTGACCCCAGACCAGTTGCGGACATTTCTTACTGAAGCGGAGGCCGCAGTTAACAGTCGGCCTCTCGTTTACGTGGGGGGAGACACACCTATGGCTAGCACTGATGTGATCACACCTTCCCACTTTCTATCTTTAAAACCTAATTTAATGTTTCCTGAGTTAATTGATGAACAGAATATCTACCCAGACTTTTTGTGTCGCCTTTCTTCTGCCTCTTCTTTGTTACAGGGGTGGAAGAAAGGCCAAGCCCTCGTCAAGGACTTCTGGACAACTTGGCAACGGGACTACCTGCTAAGTCTCAGAGAGCGCACCAGTGCTGGACGCCACAAGCGAGGCACAGAAACCTACGTACCCAGAGTCGGACAGCCGGTCCTCATGGGTGACAGCCAACCACGCGGCACGTGGAAGCTAGGCGTAGTCCAAACCATCCACACGGGGAAGGACAACGTCACTAGGTCTGTGACACTCAGGACCACTACAGGCAAGTCGTTGCAGCGCCCAGTTAGTACCCTGTATCCACTAGAATGTGAGTTACCCGATAGTGTGGATGTAACATGTGAGGATGTACCTTCACCAACCCCAGTACCATCTCAAGATGTGCATACACCTGCTGTTGATGTAGCGTCCACCATTAATACCAGACCGCAGCGCAGAACTGCAACACAGAGCCGGCGTCAAACGGTCGCTCTGAGAGACTCCAATCTTGTGTAAACACCACTCGTTCGAGTCAGGTTACAATAACACGGATGATTTCTTGCAATATGTCAAGCTGAGAACCAATCTCAGACAATCCGTTTGCTTTCAGCTCTCCCATGTATTCTTGCTATTTCAGTCAGATTCTCAGTCGCAGTATTTCAGTCATACTGCTTTCTGCTCTCCCATGTATTGCTATTTCAGTCAGATTCTCAGTCGCAGTATTTCAGTCATACTGCTTTCAGCTCTCCCATGTATTCTTTGCTATTTCAGTCAGATTCTCAGTTGCAGTATTTCAGTCATACTGCTTTCAGCTCTTCCATGTATTCTTGCTATTTCAGTCGGATTCTCAGTCGCAGTATTTCAGTCTTACTGCTTTCAGCTCATGCTACGTCAGTGTAGCTTCCGATCCCCTTTATATTATGGCTATTTCAGTCTAGGTCTTAGTCAGACTATTGTCAACTGTACTGCCTACAGTTTCAGCGGCTGTGTGTTCGCTCAAATTCAGTTTTTTCTTCTTTCGTTCTTACGCTGCCTTCAAGCAGCTCAGCCTAGTTCTCAGTTTTCAGGTGTACTTGCCTACACTTCGATAAGTAACTTCAGTCCCAAGTCACTTGGACTCAGTGTCAGTACTCGCAAAGTTTTCAGTTACAACCGCTTTGCCTCAGCACAATTTAGAATTTCTTTCTTTCATTTTCTACCTTTGTTGCATTCACCACATTTTTTCTCTCTTGCTGTCTCGGGAGTGTCGCGAATTCGATATTAAGTAACATTCGCGAATGCTAAAATAACTCAGTTTGAATGTTTCACGTAACTTTTCTCCTTTTTTTGTCTATCGCCATATTTGCCATGGCGATGTGCAGTGCTGGCAGTTTTTCATGCGCATGCTTTGATCCTTTGGCGATCATCTTTTTGCTTGCTGACTACACTCGAGGAGTTTCAGTTTTCTTATCCTAATGGTACGTCTGACGACGATCAAGTCCAATCCTTGTTGCTCTGTGTCTAATGTCAGTAACAATTAATCCAGTAATGATAGAGCTACAATTGTAGAGCTCTCTCGACTCAGTATTTTGTGAGTGGCAATCAGGCCGGGAAATTCAAACTGTATTTATGCCACCACAGCCTGCGCCGATGGTGCTTGAAACATCAAGCATGGTATGTGGTTCACAGAGCGGGGAGATGCTCTTGCTGCTATCTTATCTGTCCTGTGTATTCCCAAGTGCCGAAGGCTCACAACGATGGTGTTGGACAAGTAAGATAAAATAGAGTCAACGTAAGTACGTATGTGTACTCTTACTGACTGAAACATAAGTGGGGTGTAAGAGCTAATTCAAATGGTGTCGTGACATTCTCATGTACGAGGTTAGTGTGTAGTACTTGTTACGTTCTGAATTCTGTGACTTTGTTTTGTCTCCATATACTGCATGCATTCACGTTTCACAGTTATCAGTTTGACCCTGAGTTCATGTCTGTTATCCCGTGTCTCCTCTACTTCTTTTTGTTTCCACACGGTTCATGGTGTAGCGCTGCACGTGTTCCGTCAGTTTGAACTTCAGCATAAATCGCAACTACTTGTACTTTCAGACATGTCACGTGATTGTTGCCAGGGTTTGAGCCTATCAGAGCGCTTACAGGCAGGGCCTGAACCCCTGATCATGCCTTGCCTGCCAGCTCTACTACGATAATTATTATGTCACGTACCCGCGCGCACGGTTCTCCTGCGCTTGGGCTTGCTTTCCCTTGGTAGTTGGAAGTCAGTGGCTGTTTTAGGACTCTTAGATTATGTACAGAAAGTGGTGGACATCACGCAACTGCATTGTAAGTAAAAGGGTGGTTGTCAACTGACAACCGCATAATTTTTCGACATAATTAATAAAAGAATTTTCATCTAAAGAGTGAATAGCAACTAAATAGAGCGGTTGTTGGTTGACAAACCCCCTTTTATTTAGATTATGTATCTGAAGTAAACACAACGTAGAAATATCGCAATTATTGTCTCTTGTGTATTATATCCGTCTGATGTCACCAGATCGTCACATGGTGCTGTGACCAAGATACGGATCATGCCGAACGCTGATTCAACTGGACGAATCGAGAGGCTTTTCAGATGCAGGGACACAATGGAAACTGAACGACTTCAGAACAGCACTGAAGCGTTATGTTATCATGCAAGACGCCTTTCTGCGCCGCACAAACACAGGCGGTACTACAGCAGAAGATGTCACTCACTATTATGCAGGTGCACTGGTGACAGGCGCATGCAAGTTCACGAGAAGAAAGCGGTCTGATGGTAACTGGAATGCCAGCAGTATGAGAGGGTGTGCATTCTGCGGCGGATCTCACCTGGACAAGAGCTGCGCGAAATACACAACAGTAGCACAGCGGAAAGAATAACTGATGGAACAGAAGCGTTGCTTTGTGTGTTTGCGCACAGGGCGCCGGTCAACTCAGTGCAAGGCCACCCGCAAGTGTAATGTGTGTTCTCGCATGGGTCACCAATCAGAGTCACCATCATGTCACGATCTGCCCTGAATCTCAACAGAAATCTGACAGCAGTACCAACATAGTAGCTGACCAGCGGACCAGCTCGGAGGAGCCACGCAAGATCATTGACAACATGAACGGCTTCAAGAACTACCGAGATGGGCTGGCTGCTTCAGGATCGCCATGCATCCCTTACCTGTATGATAATTTAGATGTTCAACTGCTTATGTTATGCCTAGCGTGCACAGATCTCCGAATTTCAAAACATGTTTGCACTCAAAGTATATGTAGCTCAGGATATACATGTAATTCCGGTTCATTTTCAGCATTTTCGAGTAAAGCCTACTCCTGCATCGTTGTTCTCCGCGAACCTGTGCGGATATGTGTGTGTGTGTGTGTGTTTGTGTGTGTGTGTGTGTGTATTTGTGTGTGTGTGCGTGCGCACTTACATACGTACGTGTGTGCATGCGTGCGTGCGTGTGCGTACGTGAATACATGCATAGTGTATTGATACCAAGATGGATGAACACGAGAAACGCCTTGTCCTCTGTTTACTATTTTCCTTTCTTCATCTACTTGTTCAGGGGTTTGTATCTGCAAGACTTGACCTTCATCAACATCGGCAACACTAACATGCTCGACGATAACAAGGACTGTGTCAACTTTGCCAAGCGCTGGCGTCAGTTCAAGGTCATGTGCAAGATCAAGCAGTATCAACAACAGTAAGATTCATTGGGAACGTGTTCTTTTCTGGACGTTACATTTGGTGTTGGTGGTTACCAGGTGGAGGGTATTGAATGCTACATACCTAGTTGACATGCGTGTGTGCTCCAAGAAGATTCAGTATCAGGTGTTACGTGTAAATGGTTGCTGTGAAGTCGTAGGTGTTTCTGCCGTTCTGCTGATCCGAGGTCAACGGGTCTCAATTTCAGTGCCGGGATTGGACAGCGTTAGCGGAGCTAAAAGTTTGGTCACCCAAATAGTACCACGTGCAGTTTTGGGCAGAGTTTTTCTATCTGAAATATCATATCTCGCTCTCTGACTCGTTGTTTGTCCCTCACCTATCCGTTTCCTCACTGTTTATTCCTTTATTTCTCCACTGCTCCACCGCACAGCGGGTATGAAAGTACGAAGCGCGACGAGGATATCATTCAGTACTTCAATGGATGCAGCAGCCATCTGGGAGAAGAGGTATGCTGCGTTCATGAGCGTTTGGTTTGGTCAGGTGAAACAAAAAGTGGGAGGTTTGTGAGGGGGGGGGGGGGGGGGGTGGTGCGCCTGAATTTCCATCAAAGGTCCGGTTTGATTCGAAAGAGGGTTGTATCATGTACACAAGTGTACATACATGTTGCATGTATGCTGGCCACGTATCGTTGTCGTGTTAGGTGGTTAGCGTGCAGGATCCATGTACATGTGCATGTAGCGCTTATGTGTACTAGAACTGAACTGCGGTGTTTCGTAGCCGATGCACACACACACACGTCTAGTGTGCACCGTAGTGTTAATGCTGCTGCTAGTGGTGCTGCGGCGCGGTTCAGCTCCAGTGCAGTGTGCTACATGCGGGGTTGCCAGCCTGAAGGGTCTACCAAAATGCAGCAAAGTGCTTCGCGGAACTAATAATATTATTCATTGCTATCATTAAATTATTGTCTCCACGTCGCTTATTTATTTACTGCTTTTTTTGTTTGCTCACTTGCGCGCCATATGTGCATGTGATGTGTACTGAATCAGACTCATTACAAATACCAGTACTGATAATAGAGTGATGGAGAGTTACGCACCCTTCTCTTTCTGAGCCTGTATTTGTGTGTGTGTGTGTGGGGGGGGGGGGGGGGGAAGTGATTTTTGCCATTTTTATCCATTGGTTCATGGAAAGGATACAGAAGGCTAAATCCTGTAAAGAATTCTTCGAACCTTTATTTGTTGAGGGAAAGGTTTGTCTCAAGACTGTAGACGTTTGCTTAGAACCTTGATTCATGGAGATCGTATTACAGAATTTTTCGAAAAACCAATATTCTCACACAGTCATGGTCTTGGCTTTGATGGAATTGCGGTATTCTGTCCGCCTTTTGTCACTTCACAGGAACTATGGGAACGCTCTATGCTGCTGAAGCCCCGAGCTCCGTCTTAACTGTCAGCATTCAGCGGGACTCTGTAGTTTGCACACGGATTGGCCCCGCCTCGCCACAGCACAAGTACCACAAGAAATGTTCTCGTCACACAACACGAATCACCCAGAACTGCTCATCCCTGTGCTGAAGGCATTCTGGCAGAATGTACCCAGAGGAATTTATTTGTTTCTTCATCCGAAACATGACAATTCAAGCTTCTCCTTCAATTCTAGTGTGTGCAGATCGATCAATCAGCCGAATCCAATGGTCGGGGAAAAAACATGTGTTGAATTAAAAACCGGTCTTTGAAACAGGCCATTCTTTACTGCCTGCAAAAAAGTGCAGAGTAGAAAGTTTGATTATTGCCACCGAAATGCTGAACAGTCTGCCTGCAATTGATTATATTTTGAAGTCTGGCATATTATTTTCTATATGAGCGCATTTGTATTTCCAATCTACGACTATCTTGGCTGCCTGGATCTGTCGGTTCCGGGCTCTGTGTTCTTATGTCATCATCATGGAGTAGCGTCTGAAAAAATTGCTTGTCGAGAATACATAACAATTTCTAGCCACCGGCCCACTAATTAACACCATCTCACGAATCGCTGTTGATGTCAACAAGTCAAAGAGTTTATTTGAGACATGCACGGAAGCTGTTGGCATATCTCTACATTCTGCTGCTAAACAACACCCTTGGTTGTAGCCAGGTTGCTGCCTGCGTGGATATTATCATGAGTATTGGAACAAGCGTGTTGGTACTGTGTCTTGATGAACTGAGCTCCTTAGTCTGAACGTATAACTATGTGCTATGATTGTTACGTGCAACTACTGGATTTCCTGGTGACTATGTATTGCGGTGTTGCTGCCTCCGAGCCGTAGCTCCAGTGTGCGGGATATGCGGGGGCACTTGCCAGGGACACAGGGATATGTGGGTTTGGCCAATACCATGGCTGAGAGTCTGAGACACAGAGGGGGCACCAGATTCAAGCCCTGCATGCTTGGAAACCTGTATCATTATGGCTTTTTCAACCATGCATTCTGCAAATCATGTTCGATTCTTAGTACAGTCAACTTCGCTAATAACGACTGCGGATATAACGACAATTCGCGAATAACGACCGAATTTCCATGCCCAGAGCAAAGTCCCATCTAACTGTATACATTTAACTTCGGATATAACGACTATCTGAATAACGACAATTCGCGTATAGCGACATGCTTTTAGTGCCCCGTGGTCATATTCACTGCTTGAATAACGACTTTCTGGGCTTTTGACAGCTATTTCAAGTACCTGTCAGTCAAGTACATGTACCTGTCATGCAGAAGTACCAGAACCTATGGTGCACTGGTACATGGTGATGGATATTATTGCACACATGCCAGAAAATGCAGCCAAGGGGGGGGGGCTTTTTCTTCCTTTTTTTATGTTGGCTTCAAAATTGTTGGATTTACCAGCACACCTATATGTATACAATGTACATGTAGTTGTACATGATTGTACAGTAATCATCATACATGTACATATCTCTAGCCCTGTAGATGGCTCAAAAAGGCATATTTTTCAATTGATTTCCCTTGCATATTGAATTTTTAGTTCCTTTCAACTGCAATATGAAAATAAAGTACACATTGACATAGAGCAAGAAAAGAGCTTGATTTTGATATGCATATCATACTATACAAAATAATTATGGGTTCCCATACATTCAAATGGGACTTCGGTTATAAGGACACTTCGCGAATAAGGACACTTTTCTGATGCCCCGCCGAATGTCGTTATTGGCGAAGTTGACTGTAGTAAGAACATTATCGTTATACCGGTAGCCAGGTTATTGATGCACGAGTTGGTCTGGACTGCATCATGATCGGTCCGATAGGCCGGTCACGTACTCTGAATTTCGCTGTCGGAACAGCTAGATGTCCGGAGATTGAGCCAACAGTGGTAGTGACTACTGTAAGACCAGGTATTTTAACGCTAATAATTATTTTACCATCTCTGGATTTTTGTGGGTTAACGAGGTGAAATTCTAACGAATTCTGTCTCAAAACTGGCAAATGACTGTACACGTACACATCGTTTCAGTACATGACGACTTCAAATGTTAACGAATATTTTAAATTCGTTAAATCGTTAGAATTTTAAAATGTTCGTTAACATTACTGGTCTTACAGTAGCCAGGGAGTCGTCAAATACCGTATTTGACGACTCCCTGACAGTAGCTATTACTTTAAATTCTTTTTTTCTTTCAGACATCTTTGCAGTACCCTTTAATGTCGGTACTTTCCACCTGGCCTAGACTAGAGTCTCATTATCAGATGAACAGCTACGGTAGGCACATTTCAAAAGTACAGCAAGAAACTTACACAAATTTTACACTCTTCATCAGGCCAGGACTCAAGAAACGTTTTTCCACAAAACAGTTTTCGCGCATTCTCTTCGAATTCCAAGCAACTAGCACCAATGAAAAGTACGGATAAATATATGTAGCATCACAGGGGTGGGAACCGTAACAGCTACTTCGAAGTAAGTGGTAAGTTGACGAAGGAATAATATTATGCAAGAGGGGAGAGAAACAAAAGGAAAGAAAGAAAGAGAAGGTGAGAAGTGAGACGAAAGGCACATTCAAAACTTAAATTATTATTATTATTTGAGTATCATGTCGGCATAAGCCAATAAGCATGTACTTGTAAATGTAATTTCGGCGAGCATAGCGAGAAAAAGAAAAAGAGGAAATACGTAAAATCTTGAAAGATCTACTCTTCAGGCAGCTTCATTCTAAAATATGACTGTTGCCAGCAACACCGATCGCCACTCAACGGCTGCATTGCACACAAAGGAGAAAAATACACGTGCAGTAAGATTATAGTCTACTCCAGTGTGCAGTAGACGCAGGCAAGATGGAACCGAAATGAGCATGTATCGCAAAAGCTCCTGCGGCTGCTGCCAGGTCTATTGGATAAAAAAAAGTTCGCACGTCCGCGTTACAACTGGCTATACAATGGATAACCGCATGGAATAGACTGGGGGAGAATTGGTTAAGCAGAATCGATGATCTAACAATTTGGGAGCTGGAGCAAACATCTAGTAGGTGAGCTGTTATTGAACTAGATAAAATGCACGTGCGAATTTGCGTGTGTATGGGGAGGCCTCGAGGGGGGGGGGGGGGGGGGGGAGCAGCAGGATTTATTTGACGTTTAAACGGTTAAAACCGTTTGAAAAAGTCTAAAATTGAGGATGAGTTTATTTTTTTTATTTTATTTTTTTTATTTCTGCACCTCGTGGCGTTTTACATGCTGAATCACGGTTGAAAGCAGAGAGGGAGGAGGACGAAGAAGTCAACATGCCTAGAGTCTGAGAGGCTGATACGCATGGCATAGTGATACAAACTAGGGCTGCGGTGCCATGGTTTCTAAGCCATTCATCATGAGCGGAGGACAGACCGGACGCCCTAACGAGAGAACAGTAATCAACAGAAGGAGAACACCAGAGTCAGCGATAAATTGGAATTTGACAATCATGATTTATATTCAGTACGCGTGCGTTACACAACAACTTGGTCAATCATCAACTCTGCACTTTTTGCCTGTGACTGGCATCTTTTATTCACCTCCGCTACTGTTGATGAAGCTGTGGAGAAGTTCACCACAGTTCTTGATGACGTTCTCTCCTTCTATGTGCCACAATATGGAGCAAGACCCGCTACACCCAAACATGGCAGCCACCACCCTCGTCAGTCCAGCCGTAACCCCAAGATCCCTTGGCTCTACAGCTTAAGTAAGAAGTACTCCACCTATGCTAATAATTATTTCTTTATACAAAAAACAGCGCAATCTGGTGAAGTCATTGTCACGTTCTAAGTATCGAGCATATTTACGTTTGCTTACTACCACCCTATCTCACCCCTCTTCCAGGCCTAACCTGTATACCTTTGTTCGCACTCAAAGGACAACTAGTACACGTCAAGACATACCTCCGTTATTAGCTTCCAATGGTTCGATGGTGACTGACCCCAAGTCTGTAGCTAATACTCTCAATACGCAATTCACATCAGCTGGTATTCCAGACGACCATTCCTCTCCAATACCACCTCTGCAACGTTCTGCGACTGTGTCTTCTGATCTGCGCTCTATACATACCACCACATCATCTGTTCGCAGCTACCTAAAAAGACCGTAAAAAGCAACAAAAGCCCTGGTCCTGATGCCCTACCAAAATAATGAAGTTCTCAAAGTTCTGGCTCCATCTCTGGCGTACCCACTGTGCCTTATATTCAACCTTTCCCACTCCTCCGGCGTATTTCCTGATCGTTGGAAGATCGCTAAGGTCACGCCCATCTACAAGCCTCAAACTATCGTCCAATATATCTTCTCTGCTCCCTTTCAAAAGTATGTGAAAAGATATTTTACCACCAGTTGTATTGCCACATTGGCTTTCTCCGCAACGACTCAACCTCTGACCAACTAGCTCGTCTAGTACAAGACATTGCCACCCTTCGTGATGCTCGACACCATATTGCTCTCTGTTTCTTTGACTTGGCAAAGGCCTTTGATACTGTCTGGCATCGTGGCCTCCTTGCCAAGCTACATATTGTCTTTGGTGTGTCTGGCCCTGCTCTGTCCTGGCTGGAGTCCTATCTGAGTAGCCGATCACAGTTTGTTTCTGCCCTCTCCATCAACTCTGATCTCCTACCAGTGTCTTCTGGAGTTCCCCAAGGCTCCATACTTGGACCTCTTTTGTTCGTAGCATACGCAGTGCTGCCAAACCGTCCGATTTTTCGGACAGTGTCCGATTTTTGAAGGCTCTTCCGAAAACCGGTCCGAAAAGGGAAACGTCCGAAAAGCAGCCAAAATGTCGGAGATCATTACTTTCCTATGCAGACGTCCTGTAATGTCACTTTTCAGCACAACTGAAGGCACAAATCACTGTACATTTGCTTCTAAAAAGGCTAGCGCTTGGCTGTGGAAGTGCAAAGCAACATGTCTGGATCAGGCTGGATGGCATGTACGCTGACAGTCCGTACAGAGTCAGTGTGCGACCACACTCATCATTACAAAATTCATGACAACTCCGGGGTTACCATGGCAACGAAGCGAATTTTCATGGTGTTTAGGCGATATTTTGAACTCTCTGTAAAAAATTGCCGAGGAGAAAAGTTCGCACCATGTGGCCAGCCTAGGCCTAGCGCCTTGGCGGTGAAGGGTGTCCGATTTTGGGCGAAAATTATTTGGCAGCACTGCATACGTAAATGATTTACCCTCTATAGACCCAGGCCAGGTGTCTCGTTATTTGCTGATGATACAACCCTGTACTGTCACTGTCACTCAGCATCCTCGTCCTCAGCGGCTCTTGTACCTCGAGTGTCGGCTCAGATATGCAGTGTCCTACGCTGGATGCAAACATGGCGACTTAGACCCAACCTGACTAAAACCGAAATAATGTTCCTTCCCCCAATCTCATCCATGTCACTTTGACACCATCCTGATTTCCCAGAACCCCTAAAGGTTGTTTCCAACCATAAACACCTGGGTATGATGCTTGATGATCGTCTCTCTTGGTCTTACCATATTGATGCTCTTTGCAGCCGTTCAAGCTCTGCCCTAGCCTAGGTGTTATACGTCCCCATTGTTTCCATCTTCCTGTCAAAATGTAAAATTTTGTTTTACAAACTGTACAGTCATCCTGCCTCTTTTCATGTACGCTGCTGCTAGCTGGTGTGGCTTGTCCTCGATTCTCGCTGAGCGTCTCGAAATCCACCATAGAAAACTTCTTCGTATCAACAATGTTTAGTCTACCCCCTCTCTACTCTTCTGCTTCCCTGTATGTCCTTGCAAATGCTTGCCCACTGTCGACCCACCGTCAAAAATTAATTTGCACTTTTGCTCACAAATTTAAACTAGCTCTACATCCTCCTCATCTTAGCGTGTATAACTGGTTCCGAATCACAGATGGCTCCCAGACAAGATGCTCTGTTGCCCTCCCCTTGGCTAAAACGTCCTCCCTTGTACGCTCTCCACTCTTTGTTGCCTACTCTGCTTGGCTTGCGCTGCCCGCTACTACGCGCAATGCCAGTACCCTGGACGCTCACTAGATTCACCATCACCTGCTTCTCCGTCTTGACCATTACTTTTCTTCTTTTCTTCTTTTATTCACCATGGTTGGTTAACACCCACATCTCCCGTACTGGCTGATTTTCTTCTCATGCCATGAGCTGATGAGGTGTAAATAATAATAATAATAATAATTTGGAAAGGATTGGGAGAACTTCAAATTCAAAGGATCAGAGCATTGCTCATGACAAGCAGGGTCCCAGGTTCGAGTCCTGGTGGGCCTGGCATTTTTTCTCTTTTCAGGCAGTTCACTTCCCCGACTGATCCTTTGAATAATAATAAAATAATAATAAGCGTCGTGCCAGGTGGGTTTACCGTTTGGTGCACGTGAGTCGCGTGACCTAGCGAGAGCATATAGCAGCGATCGCGTACACATCCTGCCGTGCACGCTGTGCTTCAGAAAACAGAACACAGAAAAGAAAGAAGCTTGGCTGGAGTTGTAACAGTAAACTATTTACTTGTAGCCTGTTCTCGTAGTTTTAGAGCCGATGTTTGCGATAATGGTCGGACCTGTCCTTTCCTTGCTTCTCTCGACACGCAGTGGCAAACCATTCTTGCAAAGCTGCATGTGATACTGTGTAAGTGTATGTAGTAAGCACAACCCATGTGCTTCTAGCTACCTCAGGTGAAATGGAGAAAAGAAACTTTGTCTCCGATTGCCATCATCTTAAAAGTCGGTAAGTAGATAAGCTAGGAAAAGGCATACTAGTATTTCCCATCAATTCCACGTACCGGTACCAATATTCTCTACAAGCAACATTTGTTTCGTAAAACCTTTTCCGTTGCACGTTGTAGGGGACAAAAATGCTACCGCACTTCGTATGAAGCTCACCGGTGTTTTTTCTATGTCAGTAAACCGGACAATCGGTGTGAGTTTTTTAATATTTTTTTACGAGAAACCACGAGCCTCGAGAACAGAATACTGCATGATAGAGCTGGTTGCAGACGCAACTATGGTGGTGAAACTGGAGCATCTCCGCCGACCTGAGGTCTCGGCTTCAGCGACACTTCAGTGCACCAAAAAGTGGGGAGAAGTAGGCACAGGGGGAGGGGAGGGGGGAGTACATTTGTATAGAAGAAGGAAAATGGAAGGATGCAGTGTCTGCTCTAGGATTTCAAACCAACCAGGTACACGTGTACCTGGCACGAGTCTTCCAACCGGGTCAGAGCCGGGTCAGAGTCGGGTACGTTCAAGTGCTACTGCATGTACGTGTACTGTAGCGGACATGGAAATCCAGTCCATGGAAATCCAGTCGATTGACCAGTCGATTGACCGGTCCAGCACCCTCAGCGCATACAGAACGCCACCACGTCCAGTGCACATGGTGATCAGATGAGACTAGCACGATGCAGCGCATAAATGCATGTGTGTACCGCTTATCCACGGCTGCATGGCCAGCGCCCTGGGGCCGCTAGACGTGCAACCGGATTTCCATGTCCACGACAGTACATCAGGGAGGCTCTGTACATAATAGTACTCCCTGGTGTGTATTCCCAACATGGGTCACAGGTGACCCGTTGTTCATTTTCCAAACGGGTCCAAGTACCCTCCAACCGGGTCGCTGACCCAGCTCTGGAGCCGACACTGGGACGATACATGTGATAGTGTAAAGAGAAAGGGGGAGCCAGGGTGCAAGCGGAGAGGGTGTTCAGGGAGGGTTCAGAGGGCATCTGTGGCTGAGTGCCAGTCTCGACTGCGGAGAGACTTGTAGGCGCCTTCCTTGAATGCCTGCATTCCCTTCTGCGTGGGAAGGTTGCGTAGCAGGGCAGATGGGAGACGATTCCAGTCTTGGATCGTGGCATGGGGGAATGATCGGGGAGCACTATTACGCGCTCCGGCGGGCAGTGTCGGTGCTAGTTGGTGCTGGCGCTGCTCCTCTTGCTGGTGGCGAGTGGAGCGCCGGTGCTGGTTAGCAAATGCCCTCGGTGGTGTCATGGTGGTCAGGATTGGGGGACCATCAATCCAATGCAGCTTGTACAAGCATGTGAGTGCTGCGACTTGACGCCGAACAGTGAGGCTTGGGAGATATGACCCTGGGCCGATGAGCTTTAGGGCTCGGTGCTGTACCTGGTCCAGCTTGTTCAGGGTAGACTGGGACGCACCCAACCATGAAAGCGGGCAGTAATCAAGTACTGGGCGGACGAAGCCGCGATAAACGGCATACTTGGCCTTGTTGTCGAGAATTGGCAGGGCCTTCCTCATGAAGCCAAGGCGTTAGTGACCACGGACTGCAACCTGTCGAATGTGTGAGCGAAAGGACAGGCTCCGATCGAAGAGCACTTCGAGCAACTTCAGCTACTCCACTTCCTCTATGGCCACCCCATTGAAAGTGGCTGGAGGAATCGGCCAGGGTTGACGGTGATGCGAAATCGTGAAGACTTGCGACTTTGTCGGCTCGAATGCGATCTTCCAGCTCTGGCCCCATTCAGCTAGGGCAGCCACAGCAGTCTGGAGCTGCGTGTGTGTGTGTGTGTGTGTGTGTGTGTGTGTGTGTGTGTGTGTGTGCGTCACTGTGTGTGTATGTTTTTGAAAGAATACCATCAACAGAGATGACACGGAACATTTAGAAGGAATATCTTGAAGAATACCAATTGCATGTGGCCTTTAAGGCATACGCCGACCTTCATTATAATGTATGTGGAATAGAATAATGTCTGTGGCACCAATAGGAGTGCCCAGAAAGTCTAGCAAACACATAGGAACAGTAATATAGTGTCAGAATGCTATGGGAATTGGCGTGCGGGTGCAATACAGGTTGTTGAGTCCAAATCTCGAACAAAAAGGGCGACGAGCGTTGATCAATAGACAATAGGGCTTGACATTGATGACGTCAGAAGTCAACATCTAGCGACAAATGTCGACTTTTGGATCCACTCTGCCTGTAGAGAAGTACAACATGTGGTTGGTAGGCCCCTCGTGTTGCACGCAGGTGTGATTTTCGTTCTGTACGAGTATTGGGTCGCTGACAGCCTGTGACCATGGTGACAGGGAGGGCCCAGTTCAGTCACTACCGGTCACACATATGTCACTATGCTGCGAAGGAAAATTTGTTTTGCCATGGTTGGGTATCGCCCTCATCTCTGGGGTTGATCACAACATTAGCGTTGCGTGCACATTCTATGAGATTGAATTTAATACCGTCCGCACTTTTATCATGTTTATAGCCATGGAGGTATATTCGATTATAAGCCAGTCTCAGTTATACAGCAATGGGCTTCATAAATGAATGCCATTTGAAGTATGTTTTATAAAATGAAGGAATAAGTACTATACTATCTAACTTACAGCCCAGCAGGAAGGGTGAACCAAGTGGATTTAGATTGAAATTTCTGTGTGAACTTTGACCAGGGGCGGATCCAGGAGGGGTTCCGCGGAACCCCCTAGATTTCGTAAATGTACTACTGGCAACCATATGCGTGTCCACATACATGTACCAGCTATTCAGTTTTGACTTATACTGGAACCCCCCCCCCCCCCCCATGTAAAGATCGCTGGATCCGACACTGTTGACTTTTATGTCATGGCGTAGTGGGTGAGTCATTTTCCATCTAAAATAGCTAGGAAAGCAGCGGTGTTTCGGATATAAGGCCATGGCTTCAAAGGCGCTGACACACGGTAAATAGATAAATACATAAAGACTATCCAAACGTTTATGGGTCCATGCAAAACTGGATCCAAGCGGATCAAAAAGTCAGCGTTTTCATGAATTCGGGCTGGCTGTGACGTAGCACTTTCAAACCCTATAAGAACGAGCGCAGCGCCCATAGCAACCATGCTAAATCCATTGAGCTGCGAGTCACATGATGTGGAAATTGAAGTGAGCGCTGAAAAACAGTGGTCTATTCTAGCAATACCGTACTCATTTGATTAGAAGCCCCTCTTGAATAATACTATTACAATAGCCCCCTGATCCACTCACCTCCCACCGTTTAGGCGCTGCATCTGCGCCTTTGATCCTAGAGGGTGGTGGCGTTCCCACGGCAGATACGGAAAACTCGGCTTCGAACCGTGACATTTATTTATTTAATAGCCCCCTACAGTGCTGCCGGGCGCCGAAAAATGGAGCACCGAAGAACGACCAGGCTAGACGTTCATCAAGCACGGCATAACAATGTATACAGTCATGTTGACTCTACTGTGCATAGACTACTGCAATACAGTCAACTTTGCGTATAACGACACTCGGCCGGGCATCAGAAAAAGTGTCCTTATTCGCGAAGTGTCGATATACCCGAAGTCTCATTATATGTATACAGGTAGAATGGACTTTGCTCTGGGCATGAAAATTCGGTCGTTATTCGCGAATTGTCGTTATATCCGCAGTCGTTATTCGCGAAGTTGACTGTACATGAAAAAATAGGAACGGCCTAGGCTAGGAGGCTGACCCCAGTTCTTCATCAATCGACAGCACTGTACAAACAATAGTTTTGAAAAATTACAAGCACCTCTCAAAATGAAGCGCGGACTACCACTATTCGCGAAGCATGGGGTGACCAGGTAATGCCATGTATGGTAAGTTGACTAAGATCGAGGGAGTACAAAGCAGTGTGTGCATATACTTGCATGCACATAGCGGGACATGTCCAGGCCGACGTGGTGTGTGCAAGCTTACTCGGGGCGGAGTCGCTTTGAATATGAAAATTTATGAAACAATGTGTACACTTCTGCTGAGTATTGGAAAGAAACGGGAAAAAGCAATATTCTTTCAATAAGGAGGACGACGAGCCGAAGTGACATTTTGGATTTCTTTAGTAAACAATGTTAAGTGATGGAGACGATGCGAAAACAATCTAAAAAGGTAAGGAGAAATAGATGTAAGGAAAAAGCGGTGGAAAAAAAAGATTTTTCGAACACGTTTTCGTACAACACTCTTCAGGAATCACCGTTGTACTGAAGAACGAATAAGAACAAAGGAAATAATATAGCAATCCAGTTAGAGTAGCAGGGTACAATGACAGCACTAAAATATCAATCACTTCAGCTCGTCCTCCTTATTGCCAGTGTAGCATGGCTACTTTATGACACGTAATTTGTATACACATAAATAGTACACCGTAGGAATGCATGGATAGCAGTGCGCATACTCGCACTGCCTTGTCTTCTTCTTCTCCTTGTGAGACAATGAACGAATGATAACTACTTACGTAACAACTGAGTGCTGAGAGTATACGAGTTACACCATATCAAAATTGAAATCCAAGTTTTCAATATGAAAACATGAGAGTTCATTCTTGTAGGCAGTATATTCTTTTACACGACCACGCTGTAACCGATACACACTGTACATGCGTATGTAGTAACTTATGACCGTGTTTTCTTCTCTTTAGTGTAGATCAGAGTCACTGGTGATGCAAAGAGGTCTACTGAATAACAAATAAAAGCTATTTTTAAACAAGTTAAAAGAAGTTAAAATCACCAAAGTCAGCAGAGTTCCGACCTTGTAGCAGTGCTAATGTACTCCTTGTGAACATACGGAATGATGCAATTGCACGCATGTGCGT